CCTTATAATTTTAGAGACAGAGCCCTAATTTTAATCCTAGTCGGCCCATATAATAAAACCTACAATTAAATTCTATGTCGGCTACACTAAGTGATGTCCAAAAGAAACTGTGAGTCAATTAATGTATTTAAAAACCCACGTAACTTAATTTTAACATTACAATAATTATAGTAAGTTAATTTCCTAAGTGTAAAACAGTAAATTACAAATAATACAATTAATAATTTACGAAAACAGACACAACAATTAATAATTTAAATAAACCAAATAATATACATAAAACCAATTTAATTCAAATTTCAAATAACTAATTAAACAAATGAAAAACAATAAAATAAATAAAAATGCAATACAATAAATATTAAAAATACCGAGACTATCCTTTTAAAATTAGGGGTATTACATGGGGTCTGAGTGTAATTAACTCTATATATTAATTTAAAAACACATGTAGTGTTGGGATATTAATTCCCTCCAACCTACTCAACGGTTGGTTGTTTTTAAGAGTTAAATCACTCATTCATCACACATAACAAAAACATCTTCATTATATAATCACACAAGCATACATAAAGTTAACAATTATACACATCCACGCATAATACAATATTTTACATGATTTACCCAACTCTAGGGCTATATCCATGGAGAAAGCGATTTTCACTATTATGGATCAAGGAAAATAATATGCAACCAAATTTCAAAACCCCACTCACTCACTCATCATCTCTTTTGAGGTTACATCTCTACATTAAAAAATTACAGATACTCTCCCATCTCCTCACAACACTCACCAACCCCTTAAATATTTCATCTCTTTTTCCTCTACACCTCTTAACCCATCTCTATTTATAGAGTCTTCAAACTTAATTTCTTTATGAATAATAATTCCATAACTTGCCTATAAAGAGTCACCATATCAATCTTTAACTCTAAAGTAGCAGACAAAACTTCTTTCCCAAATTTCTAGCCTTTAAACCAAATCTTCTGTCTTCCAAAACGGATTAGGAAATTGTTTCCCGTATTCATTAGGCAAGTGCAACCAATTCCAGTTTAATGTTCAACCATTCCCACCTTAAAGTTCAACCAATTCAACTTTTCCAGAATGAGATTCTTCACCCAAATTTAAGCCACAACTCTAAGAATCTCCACTTTGGCTCAAAATTTGGCCTTCACATGTTCCTCCATCTCTACCTTTAACAAAAATCTCTTCATAACTCTACTTTAATCAAAGATCTTTTTACCTCGAACAAAATACTATGATGAAATTGAAAAACACTATAATAATCTCCAACTATTCTCAAATTTCTTTATGTTTCTTCCATTTTTTTTCCTTTTTTCCCATTGGCGCTCAATTTCTCACAGGTGATAACCCCACCAATATTTAAGCTCATCCTCAACAATCAATTTCTTTTCTGGCTCAAAGCAACAAACCTCAAAACTTATTTCTCAGACTATACTTGCCCCATCTTGAGAACTAGTACCCACTCTCTGGCTTGTCCCCAAAACTTATTCCTCATGGACTTCACACTAACAAACCTTCGTGATTGAATCTCTATAGTACCTCACGATGAACTCTAACAAACTTCACACAATCTTCAATTCTAATCTTTAAGACTAACCACAGGTTCTGGCCCACCATCAGCTCTAGTACCAGTTGTTAAGGATATTAATCCCTTCCAATCCACTCAACGTTTGGTTGTTGTTGAGAGTTAAATGATTTCTTCATCACACACAGCGGAAACATCATTTTCACATCACCACACAAGGATATATGGAGATAACAATCACATAGATCCATGCACAACACAATGTTTTGTATGGTTCATCCAACTTTGGGGCTACGTCCAAGGAGAGAGAGATTTTCACTATTATAAATCAAGGAAGAGAATATACAATCAGTTATCAAAACTCCACTCACTCACTCATCATCTTTACACTCATGAATTACATATATTCTCCCCCTCTACTCCTATCACTCACCAACCCCTTACATTTTTCCTCTTTTCCTCTCTCTACACTTCCCAACTCATCTCTATTTATAGAGTCTTCAAACTTAATTTCTTATTGGACAATAATTTCCCAACTTGCCTATAAAGAGTTACCATATAAGTTTTCAACTCTAAAATAACGGCACAACTTATTTCCTAAAACTTTAGTCTTTTTTCCAAGTCTTCCGGCTTCCAAAATGGATTAGGAAACTGTGTCCGATACTCATCAGGCAAGTGCAACTGGTTCCATGTTAAAGTTTAATCGGTTCCACCTAAAAGTTCAACCGGTTCCATTAAAGTTCAAATTTTTCAAAATGAGATTCTTCACTCGAATTTGAGCCAGGACTTCAACATGCAATGCAAATAAAATGAGTGTGTAGTGTGTGTTGTTTACCAAATATATATATATATATATATATATGAGCATATATGCTTGTGTATATGCAGGTGGAACATAACAACCATGTTAGATTCTTTGCCCATCACAGAATCATGATTAAAAAGGGTTTTTTTTTTTTTTTTTGGCCATATCATCTAACACATATTGCATATTATATTCTGCTGGATCAAATTATTATCAGATTGGATTGACTATAATTAATAAATAATTTATTTAGCTATTAATTTTGAATTATTAACAAGTTATCGGATTAAATATTCAATCTATATTTGAGTTATCGGAAAGAATTCATATCAAAATTAAATCCATTGACCGACCTACCATTAAGATTGGCCCAATAAGTTTTAAATTGTATTTTATTATTTTTCCACATTAATGCCTCTCTCTCTCCCTCTCCTTCTCCCTCTCTCCATAGATTTTACCTTTATAAAGTCTAAAACCAAAACACTTGACGCCCATCATTTAGGGCCCGTTTGGCTACCCCAGCTACTTTATGTTTTTGCTTTGATCCGAAGCAAAAACAATGTTTTTACTTTTAGAATGTGTTCAACATTATTTAAAAACTTGCTTGGTAATATAAATTTGTTACAAGATTTTTAGAAGCAAAAACATGAAAGCATGTTTGGTAAAAAATATTGCAAGTTTGAAAATTTAAATGGTTAGTTAAAAATGTTATTTTAGAATATATATATATATATTTTTTATGAACAGTGCTTTGTTACAGTTTGGAAGCAAACAAAAACATCATTTTGATACTTCCAATTTTGGCTTTAATTTTGGACGAACTTCGGTACTATTCAAAAGTACAACAAATATTACCAAACATGTTTCGTACTTTTGCTTCGCTACAACACATTAGTAAAAGCAAAAAACACGAAACAAAAACACTAGCCAAACAGGCTATTAATCATGAACTCTTTAAAAATTTGACCACTAGTGGTTGTAACCTAATAATATCTTCTTAACGTCACAAAGTGAAAGGTGGGTGATATCGGTGTGTGAATTTTTGACATAGAAAAAAAGAAAGAAAGAAAAACTCTTGACCCCAATCTTCTTACATTTGGAATTCTACACCCGGATCCTTGCTTATCATATGCACCCCCATGCCCATCTTCTCCATTTTCTTTCTATTCCTCACTCCTGTCACTCTCTTTCACTCTCTTTCCTCTTCCCCCTCAAACTTGCACAATGGAGAAATGTGGCTGACTCGCCCATGACGTGATCAAGAAGATCCTCGTCTCCTACACCAACGTTGCCAATTGGATAGTCCTCAACTTTGCTGTCATCATCTACATGTACATCCTCAAATCAACAAAACAACCAATTTTGTCAATTGATCTCTGAGTAAAATATCTCGAATATGTGAGGTGTAAAATAACTCATATAATTCTTAATTAAAAGGCTTATAAGTGATAATTTCTTCATTATCAAGATTTATGGCTAAGAGTGAGTCCACCATTTCCATCCATATGATTTGAGTCCAATTTCGTGACAATAAAAAATCTTCTCGGAAAAGTTTAATCATTTACCAACATTCTCCTTATTTAAAACTCACACACAACCTAGATTTGAGCATTTACACATTATACTCAACAAGATCTAGCCTTGGATTTTGAATCAAATACATTCCAAAACATATTTAATTGGTGAGTTTTCACAAATATATATATTTTATTCCTTTTACATCACTCCAAGTATTATTTCAGATACTTTCCGACTTAACACTAGATTGTTGTAAAACGTATTAATGTGTTTTATGTGGTAAAATTTTATTTATTTCATGTTCAAGTTTATCATTGCCATTCATTTAATAATAAGTCTAAACTATTAAGCTTTTAGTGCCAACTACAATTTAAAATTCAAGTGTAAGTCATTACTTGTATTAAAGTAATCTTTAACTTTTTTTAAAAAATCTTTAATTATTGGATTATTATTATAAGGGAGATTTGTTCTATGTCAAATTTGGGAGAGTGATTAGGGTATAAATGGGTTGATATGCAGTACTACTCAATAGTTTAAGTTTTTAGATAAATTGGTAAGTGCTCACCCGTTATAATTGGTATCAAAGGAAGACCCAATTCTTGATCAGGTACCACGCCAAATGCCTGATCCGAAAGTCGTTTGGGTGAGCCATCCGGGTAGATAAGGTGACCCGACTGCAACAAGGGCGCTGCGAGTTCAGGTGAGGGAGAATATTACAAGGAGAGATTTGTCCCGCATTAGATTCAGATAAGAGAGTGATTAAAGGTATAAATAGATGGGTATGCAACACTTTCTAATATCTTAAATTTTAAAATAAATGAGCAAGCACCGTTACAATTATTGATTCGAGTGTCTAAGCTCCAATATGTGAGGTTAAAAAAATTCGTGATCATTACATCAGACTCCATTGTTATGGGTCCAAACATTTCAGAGGTCGGTCTTTTAGGCCCAAATAATGGACTGGGCTTGCAGTTTCAAATATATAGTATTTAAATTACAGGAAAAAAAAAAAAAAAACAAACTCCAATTTTCACTCTTCAATAAATTTGATAAAATTGAAAGGACAGTTTTGGTATTTCACCAAGTAAAATCTCTCCAGTATGTATATATATACACCAAGCTGCAAATGGAACTTGTGTTCCTCTTTTCTTTCTAGGGCTTATTTCGACAAACACAACAACGTTCAGAGTAGCTTCTCCATGTAGCTCACCTGCATAATTTTCCGTCCGAATTCAGATCAGGTACCGATCATCTCTTCGTGACTTTCAATTCATCATATACGCAAGCTGTTTCCTTCTATATTTGTTTCAAAGCACTACAAAATACCATTTTGAAACGTCATTTTGCGTTCACATTGTGAAACACATGCGCATATATAATTTTTCTGTGTTTGTGTATTTGATGTAATTTCGCATTGTTTGTAAAGCTGAGTTCTCACTTAAATGGAAGGGTTTTTAGTTTTTCATGATCACACTCGCTTTAGTTAAGTTTTGTTACCTCTTATGTGAATGGATTGGGAGTAATTGTGGTCGTATTAAATTTTATGCGTGCACTTGGTTTCCTTTTTTGTGGGCAAACAATTTGTGAATTTAGTTGTGTGTCAGTACATCACCATAATTCAATTGGGTCTCCTTCAATTGACAGTCTGGGGCGGTCGATGATTTGAGAATTTTGACAAGAATTAAAATTGGGCAAGAGCTAAACTGTCCTTTGTTTCAATGCAAGATTGTGAAAATTGGGTTTGAAGTATGTAAACATATGTAGTATGGTTGTATTGTGCACACATGTATTAAGCGATTTGTTTAGTAGCGGACCTAGGCCTTCAGCGACTCTGGCACCTGATCTTCTCTCTATGTTTCATGGTGTTCTATTTTTTTATAGTTTTGTATTGTCATTATGTGGAAGACTTCGCATAAGCTATTTAAATTTAAAATAATTCTTATGAGAGTGTTTCACTCAAAATATTGCCTTTGAATTTGGTACGTGAGTCCTAATTTTTGCCATTGCATTGTAGTTTAACAAATGGCGGCTCCACCTAATGTTGAGCTGGAGGCAGCAAAGTTTCTTCAGAAACTTATTCAGGAATCTAAAGATGAGCCTGCAAAATTGGCTACAAAACTTTGTGTGGTGTGTATAGTTTTCCTTCACAGTTAATATTCCATGTTGGTATATTTATTGTTTTACTTTTGATATGCGTGTATTTGTGTACTTATTCATTTTTATCTTATGATGTGAGTATTTCAGATATTGCAGCACATGAAAGCAAGTGGTAAAGAAAATTCAATGCCCTATCAAGTGATATCAAAGTGAGGCATTTCCAACTCAATTTTTATTACTCAAATTTGTTATGCGTTGTAAAGATGATTAAGAATTTTGTGTTTGCGTAACCATAATTCTGTTCTTATCTATATTTGGTAGATCCATTAGTGTTTAGTTAGATGATAAGATAAGCTGAAGGACATTATGTCTGAGTGAGGTTAAAATGGCGTGAGAGATCTGGCTAGAAAAACGGACACTTTTATAAAGTTGGTGCCTGTATTTGTCACCAACGCTTTGTTGACACGTCTTACACTTCATAGATGTGCTCATACTTTAAAAATAAAATTCATTACTTCAAAATTTAGGTGACACATATTAAATACTTGGCCGACCCATTCCAGACACTCCTATCACAAAATCTTATATGATACAAGCTTCAAATAGCAGTAATGTCGTTATCTTGAAAAATGTCCAATCTTTATTTTTTAGAAAAGAATTGAGACATAGTTACCACAAGTTACGCATACAATGATAGTTTTATTTGGGACAAAAATATAATTTACATTGACAAATTAGGAAAAAGTAGTAGCATGTGTAATATAATCATCTCTACGGTATGTGCACAACTTTATCTCCAAAATTATTTAACACTTTGTATAGAAATGAAAAATTAATTAAAGTTCTATTATTGTCTTATTTATTATGCATATAGATAAAAAATTATAATTATATATAGCATTGTCCGTACCATGACTGTGTCTATGTCTTATTTTTTGTATTCAACATGTCGGTGTATTCTTGTTCTGTGTTTGTGTCTGTGCTGCATACATTTTTATATTTACTGTTTATAGAATTATTGGAAGGCTGAAGCTGTCTCAGCCTTATAATGCTCTGCTGTTTTGTGGTGATTCTTTTGTTTTTTTGTTTTTTTTATTTACTTTTGTAGTGTTCTTTTTACTCCTTGAGCTGCACTGACAAGTGCATGTTGGTTAACAAGGATCATTTGAGATAAGTTATGACCCAAATAGCTGGCAACATTTGTGGGTGATGATAATTTTGTTGTGGTCCAAAATCTTCTGCCAAAGTCCGAGATTAGTTTTCAGCACTGTTTTACCCATGCAATCATATTTGCCATATCTTGGTCTTCGTAAACACAGAGATTCCCACATGGAACTTGGAACTTCCTCTGACATGAATTCTTTCTTTATTATTTTGCAATTAGAATATATAATATCTATAAATTGGAGAGGCAGATTATCATCCAGGAGCTGCACAAAGATGCCATAGGTTGGGCTCCCTGCTAAAAGCAAAATGTTCATACTTGTTTATTTGTTTTGTTTGATAATTTTTGTTCCCACCCTTTATTACTCTTGGTTTTATTATGCTATTACCTTATTGGCCAACAGTAATTATTATTTTTATTTCTCATCTTATCACATATCTTAATTTTAAGTTGTTGGGTGGTTACGGCCTTGCGACAGCTGGGTTGGAGGCACATCTAATAAGCCTGATTACCATTTTTTAGATTCAATCTTTAATTTGATTTTGTTTGTTGTATTCCTCTAACTTAATCTTCTCTGTTCAAGGGCCATGGAGACTGTTATAAGTCAGCACGGCATTGATATTGAGGTTTTAAAGTCATCACGTCTTCCACTGACTAGTGGAACTCACATGGGGGATACTTCGTCATCACAATTTGCAGGTAAAGAGACATCTAACAAATTGCTATCTGTAGTTGCTGGTGGATGCTTTTAGAAAGTGCAGGTCTCAATGCATGCATTTAGTTGAGTGTTAAGGAAGGAGATAATGTTTATGCAGGTTCTTCCCAGATGCTTGGGGCTGTGAAGGATTCTAAAGCAAGCTTGACTGATAATGAGATGGGAAAGATTGATTCACATGCTTCAAACAGGCCTCCTGTTGGCCCTAGCGGTGCTGGACACAATATTTATCAAGGATCTGTGTCTCATCTGAGTAGTAAGTCCTTCGATCATGAAAGTCCATCCAGTTTCGACACTAGGTCTACCAATTCACAGTCACAAGAAAGGCGTGATACACCAAATTGGGAGAAAGCGAATCAAAAGGATAGTAAAAAAGGCAGCAGTAAGAGAAAGAGGGCTGATTCATCAGCAACCCAGCCACATATTGATAATCCCCAGCAAGTTGATACTCACAACCCTAATCCAAGGAAGGGAAAGGTGGTGAACAAGGTTGAACCACCCGAGAAGTTATTTGTTGAAAGTGGCGATCGTGGTCAGTCAAATATAGTTCAGAGTAGTGGTCAAATGGAACACATACCATCAATGTCTAGTAGCATGACATCAATGCTTAGAGCCAAGCAAGAGAGTCAACATTTAACAGAAAAGTCGTTGGATTCAACAAACATCTCAAATTCAATGTTATGGACTACAAATTCGAAGTACCCTGAAGATATAGAAGTTTCCTCTGCTCGTAATGCTTTAGGTCTACTGCAAGGGGGGTCTAAATCTTCATCACATGACAGTCTTAGTTCTAGGGGAGTATGGAATCATAATAAAATGGGATTACCATTTGAAAAATCTCAAGTTTCTAGGTTCCCTTCTACTGGTTGTGGTAACATGACAGCAGACATATTGATGCAGCAGTCCACCGGACCATCCTCTGTAACAGGTGAGACTGTAAGAGTTCTTAATAATTTTAAAATAATCATGTATCACAGTTTGTTGTAAAACCATGTATTAATATTTGTGTGCCAGAAAATTTGAAGATTTTCCAATTTAGAGCAGGACCATAGTCACCATATTCGGCCTGGAAAGCTCCATCTAGAACTGCTTAATAAATTGGGAACATAGTAATGAGATTTTTAATTTTGGTTTCCACTTGAACTTTGGCTCTGAGTCATTTGACTGGATTGAAATTGTACCTGTGTGAGTGCATATGCGTGTGCGCATTTGTGGTTGTGGGCATTGCTCAAGCCGCACTAAGGTGCCAAAGGCCTTCTGGAGCCTAAGCGCAAGGCGCAGTTTAAGGTGCAAGCCTGATCTAAATAGGGCGTGTGTATAAAATAATGCATATTTAAACATATAATACTGTATATATTCATAATCAAGCACTAATTGCAGTTAATGTAAGTAGTGAGCCATAAATTTATGAATTTTGTCAAATATTTCATAAGTTTAAAACAATACGATATATGATATAGAACCTTTTAATTTAGTGGTCATTAAGTAAACAAGAAAATGATACGAATAAATGATTAAAAAATACAAGGCGCGCCTTTTTTGAGCCTGGAGCCTACTAAAAAACGTGAGCTTGAGGGCTTTATGTGAGCCTGATTGAAGGGGCTTGGCCTGTAGTAGGTTGAGATACTTGAGCTGAGCTTTGACAAGCCTGGGGCTTTTTTGGAGCCTAGGCGCGCCTTTAACAACTATACTGTGTTTTTGATAAATAAAATGAGGAAATTGGGTAAGCATATTGACTGACAAGTGAACATTGCTTTCCGGAATAGGTTCTGATTCCTGAAAGATCTCGTGGTATTATCTGACAAGGTCCTGCTGGAATTTCAGGTGCGGGTGGAAAGATTCAAGGAGCGATGCCTGGTGCTTCTGGTTCATATCCCCCTTTAGAACAAGGAATCTCAGTTCCAATGCATTTCGGCAGTTCTTCATACGATAATCAAGGTTTGACTGCAAAGATGCATAAGGAAAGAAGCATGGAAGCCTTCCCGACCACATCTGATAAAAATGTAGAAGCCCAGTTCTTTTCTGCTAATCGCGGGGAAGGAGCATCCACAACCCTCTCCTCTGGAAAGGCCTTGGAGTATGAAGGTGGTGTTCCAAATACATTGGCAAATGAAAATAAGATACTTCAGGTAGTTCATTCCCCCCCCTCCAGTAAGCAGGTTCATTTTTGTTGCAATAGTTTACATTCATCTGGCAAATTGACGGTGTGTTGCTGAATCAGTAGTCTCACAGACAACGTTCTTATCCCCCTTTTCTGTGTGCGCATCTATTTTTTATATGAGGGGTTTTTCAATGTTTTGATATGCATTGCTGTTTTACTATCTTCAGCTGTGATGTGAAAAGTTGCATCACATTGATTTCTGTCATTGGCTTGTATATTTCTTTTCTGCTTTCCATATTTAATCAAGATTTTTATTGCTGTATAATGATTCGGAGGTAATAAGAATGTGTTGGTTTTTTCCAGTTGTAAGCACTTTTCTGTCTTAAAATTTCTTTTTATAAGGAACGCAATTTATTGTATTGAGAGGAAAAAACAAAAAAAAATTAAAACTGACAAATCCTGCCTACATGTCAAGAAAAAGAGATGAACAATATTACAAGAAGCAACCCAACTGTCTGTATGAATAGAGACCACCAGGATGCCTCTCCAGCAACATGAATGAGGGTAGGAAACCTTTAAAAGATAATAAACTGGTTGCCCCTCTCATATTGGAGGAATCTGCTTTTTGATTTGCGGATATAGAATACTCATCTTATCTTCATGCTTAAAGTGGAGGACGGAATGCAGATTCTTGCCAACAAATCCCTTTTTTTTTTTTTTTTTTCCGTAAATTTAGTTGCTTAAATTATTTGTTCTTGGGTTTCAACTTATCTGTTGTTTTATTGCTGATCCATTTGATCTGTTTTAATATAGACGCTCTGCTATATGTTCTACCTTGTGAAATTTATACCATATCGATTGTTATTTAACTTATCTTCATATCTGAGGAATCTGCTTCTTGATTTGTGGATATAGAAAACTCATCCTATCTTCATGTATCTTCTTCTTCTTCTTCTTCTTCTTTATTTTTGGGGCATAATTAGCTGCTTAAAGATTTGTTCTTGGGTTTCAAATCTTTCTTCTTCTTCTTCTTCTTTATTTTTGTGGCATAATTAGCTGCTTAAAGATTTGTTCTTGGGTTTCAACTTATCTGTTGTTTTATAGCTGATCCAATTTATCTGTTTTGATATAATCTGTACTATTTGTTCTTCCATATGAAATTTATACCATATTGGTAGTTATTCCTTATCCCCAATAGGTACAAAAATTCGTTCAACTTTGACAAGTCAACGAATTCTCTACAATTACTACACCCAAAATAATAAGAGAGAAAGAATAACGAACTAGAGATATTGTATAGAGATGAGGGGGTATTTTGATGATATGACCGAACCTAGGATTACCTAGATTGCCTACGTATCCCGCATGGAGCGTGGGAATCAGGTCGGAACGTAGTTCTGGCAATGTGAATTGGATTTCTATTTTTGGGGGCTTTGCCTTTTTTCTGTGTCCCCCCTATTGAGGGTCCTGAGCCCTTTTTATATAGGAAAAACCTTAATGGATTCCTCTTAGGATTCGCATTGCTTATCCCTTAAGAATCTGAATTACATCATACTATCCTTATAACAAGGATTTACATTATTTGGTTTCCATAAATTTTAATTCTTCTTCTAATAGAACTATTACTAAAATGGGTTTGGTAATATATTCGTACCTAGGCTCGGGGTCCCATCATCTCGGGCCTTCTTAATGAGTTCAGCCCATTATGATTAGTTGACCCGGCCCAAGCTTCTTGTAGAAGCCCAATATGAAAGTTGAATAGTCTCAGTATTTATGGTGGTCCCCTTATGTGCTGATGTGTCTTCTTAATTGGAAGGGGATATTTTTGCCCCCACACCCATCCTTCTTCAAAACAATCCACAATTGCGAGGGTTATCTTGCTTGTATGAGTTACTTCTTTGACTTGAGGTCTTGAATGTCTATTAAAGAATTTACTACATCAAATTAATAGAGGAAGATAAAAGTAAAAAGGGAAAAAAGAGAGAGACATTCGTTAAGGGGAGTGCAACCCAAATACAACACAAAAACGAAATAAACCAGCATACCTTCAAACTATCCACAAAACAACAAAATTCTCTAAAGATGTACAAGTTCTCCTATGGTCCCAAAAGAATAAAGAACTAGTAATATAGGAGTTAAGCGTACAAATAGGAGCCTCCTCACTATCAAAGGATCTCCTATGTCTCTACCTCCAAAAACTCCACCACAAGCGAAGGGGCACAACCCTTTAAGGATCTCGTGCTTGATCTCCCATTGTAAACCCTCGCCAAATCTCAAGCATGCTCTTCGTGGTAATTGGCATAATTCAATGAACACCAAACAAAGATAAAAGCATGGTCCAATTGTCCCTTGAGCGTACAAATAGGGGCCTCCTCACTTTCAAAGGATCTTCTATGTCTACCTCCAAAAACTCCACCACAAGCGAAGGGGTGCAACCCTCTAAGGATCTCATGCTTGATCCCCCACTTTAAACCCTCGCCAAATCTCAAGCATGCTCTTTGTGGTAATTGGCATAATCCAATGAACACCAAACAAAGATAAAAGCATGGTCCAATTGTCCCTTGCCACTGGACAATTTAAAAGGAGATGGTTAACTGACTGACTCATCCCTTTTACACACGCACAATGAGTCGCTTGGCCCTGGTGCCTCAGGAAGCATCAGGTCTAAGGTTCGACTCTTCTTGGGTTGTTTTGGTTGCGTGAGTACTAACTAGGCAAAAATAAAACAATGATCTGGTGTCTCTCCCTCAGATTGCATGGTCACACAATAATTTTGCAAGGAAAAACTCTGTGATCATGGAGGATTGGGTAAATTACAAAATTAGCATGTATAGAGGAGGTTTGGTGACTTCAGGAAATCTTAACTTGTACCTGTTCTTGCTTAACTCAAGAAAATAACTGAAAAGTCTATAAAAACATCTGTAGGAGATGTATGGCCTATTTTTACAACTGCGTATGAACTTCTGGAGGCACTGAAATCTGAAGTTCCATTTTAAAAGTTAAGAAACACAATCTTGATCTTTTGCTATTATTAGTGTATTTTTTATTTAATCATTGCAAAACCTTTAGTTAGTAACATATATATATACACACACACACACACACACATATTTGATAAATGACAAGTATAATGAAAATTGATCATAAAAAAATCACATATAAGCAGAATTATTTTATATGTAAAAAAATTATATATATAGTTTAATTTAATTTATTTTTAATATTTATTTTATGTTTTTAAATCCTCACATGCTGTGTATGGTATGAAATTTCATTTATTTCATATTTAAGTTTACTTTTATTAATTAATTTTGCAAAATAATTTATAAGTCTTTTTAATTATGATAGCGACTTATAATTCATAAGTAGGTCATTACCAACAGGCCTAGCGGTATCTGGCTCTTACTTACAGAAGGGAGGTCAAGGGTTCAAGCCTCCACGGGGGCATGTGTGTGTGAGTATCAACTATGAAAAAAAAAAATCATAATTAGGTCATTACTTGTGTTAAATATCTTAATTTTTTTAATAAATTCACTAAAATTCATTCTTATTGAATTATGTTATAAAATAATTCTGTATCGGTCAATTTTGGGTCCTATGCGCGAGGTCGATAAAAATAGATCACTGCGATAGCCTGATTCTGTTATGCCATGGCGATATGGGCCCAAATCCATTAGACCGCCGATGCGGACCTAGGCTACAAAGATTATGGGAGAGTAATTGAGCAAACATTAGTAATTGAAACTAATAACATGGGAAGATCAATTTAGGTTTCTGTATAGTGGGTCAACAAGAGATGTTATTTATATATCGACAAGACTATAGGATATTTTGTGCAAAAAACAAATATCTTATGTAGTCTATATAAATTTGGAGTAAGCCTATCATATGGTCCTTGAAAATATAATATGATGTGTGTTAGAAATGCTAGGATTAACAAATTTCTATTTCAGCATTATAAAAACTGTGTATAATGGAATTGTGGTGTACAAGAATAACTGTAGGATAAACAGGAAAAATTGCAACCACTATCAAAGCTTATATGAGGGATAACATTAAGTCACTTCCCTTTTGTATTGGATGGGATAGGATTTCACGTTGTAGGTGATTTGCCAATGACATTGGTTTTAGTGGTGAAACTAGAGTAGGGATAGAATGCCAAATTTGAGGCATGTAGATAAGTCCTAGAGGCAATAGGGTTTCGGATAAGTAGGAACAAAAACAGACTAACTATGGGATGGGCACAAGGATGGAACCCATGCACCATTGAATTATAGAGTATTTTTTATGGATTTTATAGGACTTAGTACTCTGGTATATATATTTTGGTTAATTGGTATTTATTGCTTGCTTTTTTTTCTCTTTGGGCTTGCCCATATATAAAGGCGTTGTGTAAAGTAGTAGATTACAATTCTGATTTTTGAGGATTAATAATATACTTCTTTCCTACTCTAATTCCCTTCTCTTTCTTCTTCTTTTCTCTTCTCTTCTTCTTCTTCCATTCTTCTCTCTCCTTCCCTTCTCTCTCTCTCTCTATCTCTCCCCTCTTTTCTTCTCTCTTCCTCTTCTTTCTCTTTCCCCTCGTAAATCAATTGGTATTAAGGCAAACTTTGATCTGCCACCACTATTACCTTGCATAACTGTTGAAAACCCTTGCCTCCAACCCCTCGTGTATCTAAATTGCACATTCTCTCCATATCGTCATGGCATCAGTCCACTCTATGAGCTGTCATCATGTCACTAACGGAATATCCATTGATTATTATTGTTAATCACCTTCACAGCTGCTATAGTCGTTGCTATTGATACCAACATCATCCCCATGACACAACTTCTGTTTCCATTGTCACCTCATTGCAACATCACACTTGCCATCGCCGTTGTTTCACGTCATCTTCATTGTTACCATACCCCGTCTGTCGTCATCATGAAGAAGACGGGGGGTTTAGTTAGAGCATGGTTTTACTTTTCAAAAAAAAAAAAGTTAGAGCACGGTTTTCTTTGAAAGAAATGGAAATCTTACCCAGATTCATAGGCAGACCTGATTAAGTTTGTCCAACTGGGATACATACTGGGTTCAGACCAGATAAATCGGTTGAACAGACGAAAGCATACTGATTAAACCGAGCTGGTGAAAAATAATCAGAAAAAAAAACATAGAAGGAATCTAAAAAAAGAAATTCAGACTTCTTAAAATTTCTTTTCTAGTGTAAAAATTAGCCTGTTTCAAGCTTCTGAATTTTTTTTTTTTGGTAGTAGTGGTGCCACCATGACATTCCAGAGGCGAGTGCTTCTCTGTAAGAATTGATGGGGATAAAGATGGGACTCACACACCATTGATGCTACTGACTTTACGAATATATTTTAGTGTTGTTTCTTATTTTGGTGATTTTCTAAGTTTTAGATATTCTGATATATATTTTTCAGTTAGTGGATTTCTTTCTTTTTCTTTCTTTCTTTATTAAAGTATGGGAAAATATCACTTACCTCCCTCGAGGTTAGGCCTAATTACAATTCGTACCCCTAACGTTTCAAAAATTACAAAAACATCCCTCAAGGTTTGTTCCGTGACTTCCGTCATAACACTTTTCCCCTCCCGGTGAAAGTCAACGTGGGTCAATGACCATTTTTTTGATGACGTCAGCCATTTTGAAGTGAAATACCACATTTGTCCTAAGAAAGATTACAAAAGACATGTATATCCTTTTTTAATCGAAAATTACTTATATACCCTTAATAGAAATAGAAAAGGGAAAAATAAAAAATAAAATACTGGTTTATATTGCGGTGGTGTTTCTTCTATATATATATGTATGTACGTGTATATGCAGATGGCTTGTGATCTCAACCTAACCTCCTACCCCACCCCATCGACATCACCTTTTAACCTCCTACCCCCATCAACAGCAACCAATTGCTAACCTAAAACCCTAAATTAAAACCAGCAGCACCCAATAAAACCCACTCGTTGATGCAGTAATGGTGGACGAGTTGGTCCGACGGCGGTAGCGGTGATGGTGGATGAGGTACGACGGCGGCGAGGAGTGGAGGGTCTTGCCAGAGATATTGAGATGAGAGAGGAGGGATTTGAGAGAGCGGTGTGGTCGATGAAATCTACCTCACCCCTTCTGAAATCTATGATTTTCCGGCAAGACACCGCCTCGATTTTGGAGGTGAGATTGTGGTCGGTGTTGGTATCGTCGCTGTCTGAGAAGGTGTGACTCGCTGAGTCGTCTTGGAATAGAACAATTTGGTCGCCACTGTTTGGTCGTTGTTTGCTTGGTTTGAACTCCACGATTTGCTAGTATGTGAAGCTTCCCAAGCCTCGCATGTGTTTCGACACCTATGGACCATACATATTCGCTCTTGGGATCGACTTTGATTCTCGGACCAACGATTACATGGTTGGGTTTGTGGGTCGTCGGTGCTGGTGTCGAATTCTCGTTGTTCGGAGGGGAAGAGGACTGCATTATTCCTCCTGAGGTAGGAGGTCTTCGCACGGAAAACTGGGTTGTGGAAAACAATTGACACCCATACCAATGTGCCTCCATAGAACATGGTTGAGTATTTCTGGTTTGCCTTTTGTCAATGGGACTATGCATTGGTTTGTGTATAGTAAATTAGAGGAGGTGGTGCAATAGTGGGTGATGGTGGAGTACGGTGGTACTGTTGGGCTTAGTGGTGGTGGGCAGTGGATGATGGTGCCGGTGGCTCCAGTAGCAGAGGGTAGGGATGGCAACGGGGGTGGGTTTGGGCGGGTGTACCCTGCCTCGCTCCCGCAACCGTTTAAAAATCCCGCTCTCGTCCCTGTGCAAAAACGGGGGAACTTTCCACCCCATCCCTATAAATGTTTAACATTTTTACCCCCGGGGTACCTGTCCCGCCCCATTTAAGACCATAATTTATTTATTGTTGAAATAGATTTGCCTTTTTATTTATTTATTTATTTTTATTTTTTATTTTATTTTACCATTGCAACTTTCCTTTTAATCAAATTTATTTGTTACTTTAATATTGTTATATGGGGTACTTAATATATAGTGGTAGATATATATACTAATGAAATAAGGGTACTTATGTAATTTGCCTATCTAAACGGGGTGGGGCGACCTACCCCCGCCCCCGCACCAAACCCGCACGGGTTTTTATTACATCAAACCATCCCCGCCCAAATAAGCAAAACGGTCCCCCAAAACCGCCAAAAACGGGGCTGGGCGGGGCAGGTCAAATTGCCATCCCTAGCAGAGAGAGTGAACGATGGAGAGAGAGTGAACGATGGATAGAGAGAGGATAGAGACCATGCAGGGTAGTTTTGTCATTTCCATTTTACTATTTTTTTATTTGATAAAATAAGGGTATATTAGTCATTTAACAAGGAGTCCACCGGAATCCAACTCCGGTCACATTGGAGGGAGGTTTCTGTAATTTTTGAAACGTTAGGGGTACTATCTATAATTAGGCCTAACCTCAAGGGAGGTAAGTGATATTATCCCTTTAAAGTATTTATCTCTTGCTGCTTTTTACACTTTGGGTTTGCCTTTTTATACAGCCTTTGTGTAAATCAGTAGATTCCTATTATGATTTTAAAGAATTAATAAGATTACAAACTTTTCCTTTTTTTTTCCCCTTCTCTCTCTCTCTCTCTCTCTCTCCTGTTCTGTTCTTTCTCCCCTCTTCCATTCTTCTCTTTCTTTCTACTCTCGTCTTCTCTTTTCTCTTTCTCATCTCTCTCCATTCTTTCGTCTCTCTTTCCCCTCCTGCATCAGGATTCAGGATGGTATAGAAGGTAGGTAGGGAAGTGATACTGAAACATGAACAGTGATGTGTAGTTCTTCCCGGATATTTGCTAGTGTCTGCTATTAATTTTAAGATATGTTTATGGCCGAAGTTCTATATTGATAATTGAACTTTCAAATGATCTTGTTTCAACTTAAACATGGTTTTGTTTTTTTATTTGGATAAGCATGGATCATTTATCTAGTTTGTTCTACATGTAGTCTCATTTACAACTTCGTATTTGACACTTTATCTGAGAAATAAATTTCTTTTGGGATATGGTATTTCTTTGACAGGGTGGGTTCCGAAACAATGTTGCAGACATGAGCATGTTCAGAAATGCATCTTCTAGAGATACAGGAAAATCACCAATCTCCCAGGCTCCTGCTGCTTCTGGCATGCCTTTCAAGGAACAACATCTAAAACAGCTCAGAGCTCAGTGCCTTGTTTTTTTGGCTTTCAGGTATATGGCACTGCAGTTGCATCTCCTTCAGGCTTCTAATGATGGAAATTTCCTCTTGTAAAATTTGTTGGTCCAAGCACATTGTTTTCACTAGTGGTATTATATGCGCAGGAATGGTTTGATGCCCAAAAAATTGCATCTTGAAATTGCACTTGGAAACTTCTTTCCGAAGGAAGGTAACTTTTGGTTGATATGATACCGAAATAACTCCATCTTAAAATTGCACTTGGACATTCACCACAAGAAAAAAAAAAAAGAAAAGAAAAAGAAAAGCACTTGGAAGATCCCATAAAGCATGAATTCTTCTATAATGGGAGTGTTGTGCATATTGTATATATATTGGATGTTGTTACTCCTTGACGTAAATATAATAACTTTTTTTCTTCTTCTTTTGAACTTGTATTCAATATTCTCAAATGCTTCTAAATGTGGATATTAAAATTGCATCATTTCTAGTATAATATCATAGAGTAACTGTAAAAAAGTGTACAAGAAGTTTCAATGCTTAAACTTTTTTAGAGAAGAAGAATTGAGGTATAATGAGAGTCTCTCATGATTAATATCGTCCAAAGTCTGCGTCCATGCACCATAATTGTCAGTCTTTTTATGTGATTTGAATATAATAGACCAAAATACAGAATAGTCAATAATTTCATAAAAAATACTTGTTTGTTACAATTTTTTTTTGAAGGAAACATTAGATATAAATAATAATAGATGTATGTACTTACCTGACAGACAATCACTATTTTAAATTTATACATAGATACATATTTATATACATACAATACACATTAACATATCACCATGTCTGTCTCATGTCACATACTTTCTCCTTATTTGTATCTATTGGATAATTCATAACTCAAAGAACATAACTAACTATTGATATTCTCTAATAAGTTCTCGTTAATTTACTGGGTGAATAACAGGTGTCATTGGAGATGAGCATCGCAAAGAGCATGTTGACCAAAAAGGAAAAGAGCATTCTATCAATGAATCAAGCAGCATTTCTGAAGTCACAGTGCCACTTGGAAAACCAAATAATGCGAGGGAAGCTGAAAGAATCCCTCCAGGTCCCTCATCTACTGGAATTATCCGTGAGGTGAACTCCTCAACTAAAGAAGCAGATAACTCTAACATGAGGGAGGACAAAAGTTCTGATATGTCTGAACAAGCAGAAGAAAGGAGACATCTGTTAGCTACAAGAAGATATCCTGAGGCTCAAAGGTTGACCCAGGAAATCTCAGATTCAAAAGCATTTCTAATGAAGGGATCACAACCAGATTCATTAAATGTAAGGGATTTACCTGTTAGTAATCACGAGGGTGATTTGGGGAATGGGTATCAACAAGTGGGAATTCCAAACCAAACTTCCTCTGTTATGGGCATAAGTAAGCAGATGAAGCCTGAGACGGTTAGCTGGACTGGAATTGGCAACCATAATGAGGTTTTCAAGGGATTGCTACCTGACTCTGCTGTTTTGCATGAGTCAGTGTCTGCAGATAATGTTTCAAATCAGTCTCAAAGCCTTAATGACTGTAATGTTCTAGGAAATCGGCATGCTGATGGTCAGTTGCCTAGTTTTCCATTAAGAGAGCATTGGAAGCCCGTCTTGGGAATGGACGGTGAACATAACACAGTGTTAACAGTAAAGGATGCTAATTTGTTGTCAAAGCATGTGATTCAAGGTGAAAACCTTTCTTCTAACCCAAATGATATTATTGTTGATAGCTTTTCTGATGCTCATGCTGCTTGTTACTTTATGTTCCAGATGATCCAAAGCTTTCTGATATAGAGAACAAAAGCATTTCAGATGGATGCAAAACAGTTCCTGTTGACAACACACACAAAAATGGCACTCCTTTTACAGACCTGGAAACGGATCAAGATGAGGAAGATATCTCAGTATCAGCTGATCTACCACCATCTCCAAAGTATACGACGTCAGAGAAGTGGATTATGGATCAGCAAAAAAGGAAACTTCTCACGGAGCAAAATTGGACACTGAAACAGCGAAAAACAGATCAAAGAATTGCCGTTTGTTCCGACAAGTTAAAGGTTTGTTGTAGAAGTAACATTTTGGTGCTTGATCCTGCGTGTTACATTTTTGTTATCATTATGAAAATTGTCTGAAATTAAATTAGCAGGCATGGTATTTATCCTTCTGTCTTTCTCGTCTGATTACTATAGTTTTTTTTTTATATTTTATTTCCCCTTTCTATGGTGGGCTGGGGTGGGGAGTATAAGTTGCTTAAGTCTTCTAATTGGCCTTGGAAAGTATGAAGTTGTGTTATTACCTGTAGATGACTAATGATTAATCACGTGATAGTAAAATAATTCCGGCCTTCACAAAGTCAGCAGAAGCGAGAATAACAGGGACTGCAATGGTTATTGCTATTAATGATGGGGATTCATGCTTGAATGATTCTGATTGGGTGGGAGGTCATTGAGGCAGTAGAAAATAAAAAAAAAAAAAAAAAAAAAAGCCTAAAACAATGAATCCTTTAAATATCTTTAGATTTTCAGAATGATGCCTTAAAAATTTTGGTTTCCTCTATTTTGGTTTTAAATGATGTTATACTTTTTTTTATATCATCTGTTACTCGAAATTTTGATTGGTAATTTCATCTTGATTATTTATTTATTTATTGGTAATTTCATCTTGATTTACTATGGCCACATATAATTATGGCCTTAAGTTGAAAAAAAGAGATGATGTGTTGTTCCTACAATATTGTAGGAACGACACAATATTGTGATTTGCGAGTATGTAATTTTTGGATATAACTGCATTGAGGACATTAAATTCGTCATGGTGGTCTAGATGAGTGAAAAATATTGGTTTTTTTTTTTTTTTTTTTTTTTTTTTTTTTTTTTTTTTTCCCAATTGACGAGGCATTATTGATTTAAGCTCACGTCGAAGGCAGTGTTTGTTGCAGTTCTGCTCCTGAAATACGCAGTTATTGATGTTTCATTTATTGCTCACATGGAATTTGATATCTGCTGAAAGAACAACATGCATGCATCGATTTATCTTGTTAGTTGGATTGAAATTGCATGCACTCCGTAAGAAAGGCTGCACTCCGTAAGAAAGGCTACTTCATGTTGAATTTTGAGCTTCAAATGATCTTCATTCTCCTATGAAGAGGAGGAAAAAATGGATAGACTTGAATGGTAATAAAGGGATTACTCTTAGAGAGATTTTTTTACAAGAAACACAATGGGATTGGAAGGAAAATATAAATAACTTGTGGTCCAAAATGGCGGGTTGTATTAGGAACGTAGCCAAAGATACTCAAGGAGAAACTAAAGGAAAGAAATTTATTAAGAAAAAAATATGGTTGTGGAACGATGAAATACAACAAGTACTAAAAAATAGAAGAACTAGTTTTAAGAATGACAAAAGAGTAAGAAACAAGAGGATTAAGAGAAATACAAAAAAAGTAAATGTGAAGTTAAAGAGATGGTAAGCCAATGCTAAACCAAATGCACTAAATAATGTATATGAAAAAATTGGAACAAAGAGGGTGAAATAGCTATTTACAAATTGACAAAGAACAGAGATAGGCTGATGAGAGACACGGATCAAGTTAGGTGTATTGTATTACGGATATAGATCAAACAATATTAATTAAAGATAAACCTATATTAGAAAGATGAAAAGTTACTTTCAGCCATTACTAAACGAGGACTATACTCGAGAAGAAGTTGTAATTGAAGGACCTTACATAGAATATTAATTAAAGATAAAGCTATATTAGAAAGATGAAAAGTTACTTTCAGCCATTACTTAACGAGGAATATACTGGAGAAGAAGTTGTAATTGAAGGACCTTACATAGAATGTTAAATGAAATTCACAATAAGGAAGTAGAGGAACACTAAAAGATATGGGTAGTAATAAGGCCTTTGGACTGGATTACATACCTATAGAGGCTTGGAGGACTTTAGGAAAGATAGGCATTGAATGTTTAACAAAGTTATTTAACAAGATTCTAAGAGAAGTAAGGATGCCAAGTGAGTGGAGAAAAGGCACAATAGTACGACATTTCAAAAATAAAGGGGATATACACATTGTGGCGGCAACACTGAGAATATGGGAAAGGGTAATAGTACGACTAAGGAAGGAATCCACGGTATCCGATAACTAATTTGGATTAATGCCGGGGAGATCAACAATGAAGGCCATAACAATTAGTTGAAGAATGTAGGAGTAAGCAACATGACTTGCATATGAATTTTATAGACTTAGAAATGGTCTATGATTGGGTCCCAGGCAATATAATTTGGTAGGCCCTACACGGAAACTAATACTCTGACAAATCATAAAAAGTTCCCAAGGCATATATATGAATACAAAAATTAAAGTTCGTACCACGTGTGGTAACACTAGTGAGTTATCCATAAACGTAAGATTGCATTAAGGATTGGTGCTAAGCCTATATCTATTTGCAATAATCTTAGATGAAATAACAAAAGAATTCCAATACGAGATTCCATGGTGCATGATGTTTGCCGATGATATCGTGCTATTTGATATCTGTAGAACTTGGATAAAACTAGAAACGTGGAGAAAGGATTTAGAATCGAAAGGTTTGAGAATTAGTCGAACTAAAACCGAGTATATGGATTATAAATTTAATAGAGATTCAGACATTGATAATATAATGATAACACTCCAAAACCAAAAGATTACTCTAAAAGCCACTTTCGTTATCTATGATCGATAATACAAAAAGATGGAGAGATACATAGTGATGTAACTAGTAGAATTGAAGTGGGTTGGACAAAATTGAGACAAGCTAGTGGGTTTTTATGTGATGAGAGAATAACACATAGATTAAAAGGAAAATTCTATGGGATTGTCATTAGACCAACTTTGTTGTATGGGAAGCAAGTGCAACATCCTTCATGTAGCGGAAATGAGAATGTTAAGATGGATGAATGAAGTAAGTAGAAGAGATAGGGTCACTAATGAAAATGTGAGAAAAATTAGGGGTAAAACCCATTGGTGAGAAAATTCAAGAGAGTAGACTTAGATGGTTTGGACACGTACATCGGACACCTAGGGATGCGGTGGTCAAATGAGGGAGACTAGTTGTAATAAGAAGGTAAGAGATGGAGTGGGCAATCAAAAATAACATAGGATTATGTTATTAAAAATGATTTTAAAAGGTTAAATATAGTAGGTGAGGTTGCATGTAATAGAAAAGCTTAGAGAGAGAATTCATGTAGCCGACCCCATTCATATGGGATTAAGGCAAGGGTGATGATGATACAATGGAGTTATGGGAAAGAATAATAGAGTAAAGATTAAGGGGAAATATATATGTATATATATATATGTTGAAAGGTAAGAAAAATCAATATCTGATAACTAATTCAGATTTATGCAAGTAAATTCACTAGGAAGCTACATACTTAATAAGACAACTTATACAAAATGACTTGCATATGATTTTCATAGATTTAGAGAAGGCATATGATAGGGTGCCAAAGCAAACAACTACCCATAAAATCTATAAATCTTATTCAGGATATGTACAGTGTGACACTGACTAAATTTAACACTAAATGCGGGGAAACTAGTGGCTTCCTATAAAAGTGAGACTTCACCAATGGTTAGTGCTGAGTCGATACCTATTTGCGATAATATTAGATGAAATAGCGAAAAATATTTAAGGGAACATCACATGGTTTATGTTATTTGCTGATGACATAGTATTAATAGATACTTCCAAGGAAGTCTTAGCAACACTTTTGAAATATGGAGAAAGGCATTAGTATCAAGGGGCCTAAGAATTAGTAAAACTAAAACAGGATATATAAAATGTAAATTTGATAAAGTAGAAAATGATGACAGTATGAATATTACACTTCAAGACTGAAGAGTTACACAAAAGAACTATTTTGGTTGCTTAGGCTCAATATTACAAAAAGATGGGGAGATAGATGGTGATGTAGTAAGTAGGATTGGAGCTGGGTGGACAAAATGGAAGCAAGCTAGTGAGATCTTTTTTGACAAATGAATACCAAATAAATTAGAAGGAAAATTCTATAGAACAGTTATTAGGCCAGCAATATTGTATGGAGCGGAGTGTTGGGCGTTGAAAAAGACAAAAATACAACGCATTCATGTAGTGGAAATGAGGATGCTACGTTTAATGATAGGAATCACTAGAAGAGATGAGATAAATAATGAATGTGTGAGGGGAACATTAGGTATAGCGACTATAAATGATAAAATAAAGAAGAGTAGGCTTAGGTGGCATGGTCATATTTAACTTCGACTTGATAATGCACCTATCAAAAGAGGAAGAGTTGTTTGCTTAGAAGGTAGCAACAAAGAGTTCGACCAAAGCTTACATGGGATGAAGTAATTAAAAACAACTTAAGAAACTAAAATTTAAGAGAAGACACGGTGTATAAATAGGAAAGAATGGAGAAAGAGAATTCATGTGGCCGGCCCATCAATTTGGGATAAGGGTAAGGATGATGATGATGAGATAATTTCAGATGGATGAACTTTATAATGTGCACTCTGTTGAAATTGTGTTGCCTTGCTTAAATGTGATCCTACTCATCTCAAGTGCATTTTACTGTGGTAACTTGGTGTGGTGATTGCTCGTTGGCTCGTATTTTTCCCTTGCTTATCAAGATTTCTCGGGACATACATGCTCTTGTTACAGATTGCTATGGTCTTGATAGGGGTTGGATGACATGGGATGTGTGTTTCTCTAGACACTTTCAGGATTGGCAGATCGAGGATGCTGTGGGTTTTTTGAAGCTGCTTTATCGCCGGGAGTGGTCAGTGATGGGGCTGACTCCTTACTGTGGGTTCCCTCCTCTAGGGAGGTTTGATGTTTGCTCATTCTACAGGAGATTGTCGGAGTTTGCAGGTCCTGCTTTCTCAAGGAAGGCAGTATGGCTGGCCAAGGCCCCTCTTAAGGTGTTCTTTTTTGTTTGAACAGCTGTTCTGGGTAGGATTTTGACGCTGGACAATTTGAGGAGGAGCAGACAGATTGTTGTTAATTGGTGTCGAATGTGCAAAAGTGATGAAGTGACGGTAGATCATAATTGCTACATTGTCTGGTGGCCCGGGATAGATGGGGGTTGATTTTGGGGTCCAGTGGGTGGGTTATGCCTTGTTCCTCTAGATTCTAGAGGCATGATTGAGGCTTGGAGAGGTTGTACAGTGGGTTCCCAAGCCCGTGACTTTTGGAGGGCAGCACCCTTGTGTATTTGGTGGTGTCTGTGGAAGGAACAAAATAGGATATACTTTTGATGGTGTGGAGACTCCTTTTAGTGTGCTGAAATTCTCCATTATTAGTTTTCCTTTGTTGGGTCATTCAGAGGAATTGTAAATCAATGGGGGAAATTGTTGATATTTTGGATATTTTGAGAGTCTAGGTTGGCCCTTGTGTAGTTTTTGCGGGCCTCGTTCCTGTTTGAACGCTTTCTAATACAACTTTACTTACAAAAATAACTTAGACCTTTGAGTCTCTTTTTCACAAATGACCTAGCACCAATGAATGGAGATTGACTAATTCTGGAATTTAGGTTCTTTACATCGACAAACCATTGAACTCTAGGTAGCCTGTTGTCACTTAACACGAACTGAGAGGAAACAAGATCAAAATTCTTAATTAACTCAAAGCTTAAGGTAATAAGGTTCCAATGGAGATGTTGGATTCAGTGGAACAATTTCCATCAGTGGGAAGGGATTTCTTCTTGGACACATCCTACCAATGTATGTTTGAAATTTGCAGTTTTGGTAGTAAATTAGGTTGGGACTAGTTTTCTTGTAATGATTTTTGTCTTACCTTGCATGTGATGGACTTATGTTTAAAAACTATTTTCTTGTTTTTGCATTATATGCTTTACTTATCTCAGATACATTTTTACTGGTTTAACTTGAGCTTTTGTTTCTATTCACAAATGACACAGCAACAATGTAAAAGAGACCACCTCTATAATTTATATTATTAACCTTAAGAAATCATTGGGCAACATCTTTATATGACCTGATTGTCACCTGTCATATGATTGGTCTTTATGCACAATCTATATAGTCTGCCATATTTTTACCTAGCCTGAAGACTTGAGAGGAAACAAAATCATAAATTAGCTCAAAGTCTTACAGTGATAAGATGCTCCTGGAGATGGTAGGGCTTTGCGAAACTACTTCCATTTATTAGTGGGGGAACTTCATGGTTACATTCTGCGGCTATATGATGGAATGCAGTTTTGATAGTAAATTAGCTTGGGACTGCTGTTTTTTCTGAGTGATTCTCTTTATTTCTCATGCAATAGACTTGTATTTTTATATGGGTGATCTAGAGGACCCTAAAAAATTACGTATCCGTGAACATGAGATTGCCTGATTCAGAAGCTATTTGGTTTAATTTTTGTAATTTCTGGAGGATTTGAGGGCCTTACAAGATTCTAGATTTTCTTATGATTCAAGTTGTTTGTTCCTTTTAGTACGGCGTATTTCACTTGAGTGGTTTCACCATATGGTTTTTAGGTACAAGTAACAGCTCATAGTATGATGCGCTCTTCATGGAAACTTCAGAATTAATTTTACTTTATTACCTGTGATAATAGCTTTGCTAGCTAAGTTTTGAGCCCACTATTCTATTATCCAAATATTGGATAACAATTTTGTTTTCTTTCCCTTTGGTTATGGTAGTTTTAGTTCTAGTGTTTAACTAAAACTCCTTGTTGTTGGGATACCTATAGCTCCGAACCTATTATTCTGCTGACTTTGTAGGATTGATGGTGGGAGAAGGTAGTTTTAAAGGCATTCCTGGCATATTCGAAGATGGTGAGACAAACTGGATATCTTTTGCCTTTTGGTCAAGTAGGTATCTTTTATCGTAGTAGAACCGGAAAGACTACACAAACTAAAGGCTATACAGTTATTGGAAAAATATCTTTTACCGAACAACTAATTGTAAAATTTTGCACAAGAAAGGACCATGTTATTATGAGTGAGAATAAGGTGCATTAGTTTCCTATTCGGTCTAGATATTTGCTTCCAATCATCTTATATTGGTTATAAATTTGTTTACTCATCGTAATTAGCTGATGAAGGCTAACAAATACAATCCTCAAATATATTTTATCGCACTAAAACTGGTAAGACTACCCTGAGCAACAACTACAGTTATTGGTCAAATTTCTCTTTTCAAACACGTCATAAAATTTCCCCAACCAAAGACCATATGATTATTATGTGAGGCCAGGGTGCATTATTTTCCTATTTGATTTCAATATTTAACTGCCAATCTGTCTTGCTTCCTGTCAACTTATATTGGTTATTATTTCCTTTATTCATAATAATTAGAGGATGCTCAAGGCACATGTTTAAATTATTCATAGATAAAGGGATTGTTTAAATTATACGTAGATAAAGGGATTTGCCTACTTACTACTTCCCGGCACCTTTAAAATATTAATTTGTTTACCATTTATGTTTTTAGCCACTTTCCTACCAATAGTTGTGCATTTATGGGACTTTGTTACTGTCCTTCAATCCCATGGCTTATTATTTGGGAAGTACATTGAAGAACTTTCATGGCTTTGTGGAGTTACAACTGTCGTGTTTATATGTATCTTATCTACACTATGGTTTGCTTTTTGACACTTGTGCAGGAAACTGTGAGCTCATCTGAAGATATCTCTGCAAAAACCAAAAGTGTCATTGAATTGAAAAAGCTTCAGTTGTTGGAGCTTCAACGCCGTCTCCGGAGGTTATTGATTTTCTTAGTTTTGCTTTAAGTTAACTCATTTCCAGTTCATCTATTAATTCTCTCAGTTAAAATAAGACTAATAACATTTCAATATATCACAATTCAGCATGTAAAAAGTGATTTCCTAATTAAGTGCTTTTGATACCACAATTGGAATATCACTTCAATATTAATCCGAGTTCAGAGGCTTTTTCTACAAATGGCTATTGAAATTGTGAGCATCTAACCCCCCGTCATACTGAACAGATATATCCCATATGTTGACTCCAATCCCGGAAACTGGGAGGGAGGGTGTTTTGTCCTCAGCCTTTTGGTTCTTGTTTAGGTTGTTCCCGGATTGATTGTTGGATAAGTTTGCTAAAAAACTAAGTATCACTTAAAAGGGGGCAAAATTTTGTGATGAGGACTTCCGTGGTAGGGGTTTTAAAATATTAGTCAAAGTGGATAAATATTCCCTGATATAAAATCTCTCCTTCCCTCCATTACACCCTCTGTGTACAATGCTCCCAATTGTTTTGCAAGAAGGCTGCCCGACGTCACCTTCCATGGAAATCTTCTGCATAAGGTTGAAACCACATTTGTCAATTACCATTGGTCAATACTATTACCCACTGATTTTTTTCAGAGATAAAAAGAGGAGTCAGGTAGATGAACAATCAAAGATCCAATCAGATCTAGTAAGACCAATCTCTCGACACCTATTGATTCTCCCTCTCTATATATACATATGTACGTATATATTCAGCTTCATCTCTTGTTAATTATTATTGCAGTTATAGCAGAATAAGGAGCCATTCTATTTGAATATGTGTGTTTGGAGATAAAATGATTCTGTTTGTAATTCAACTCAGCCGAATCAATGTGCAAATTTTAGGGTTTCTTTCCTCTCGGTAATTTTCTGCTAATTTAGGATTTTATTTCAGGAAGTGTGAGACTTGTGATATCTTTATTTAGGGTTTTCCAAGGCCTCACCTTTGGGCCTTAAATGTATTGTTTCTATTGTGTGGGTGCATGAAAATTTGGTGGTGTTTGTGCTATGGCCATTGGTGAGTGATGTAAGGATGAATCTTGAAGATAGAGAGAGTGCTCTTGGTGGGGGTGCTGGAAGTGGGTTCGAAGTTCCCATTGTTTTGATAGTTCATCTCTGGTAATGCTTACAGAATGAATGGAATTGGAACAAATGTTATAAAATTCAACCAACTTGAGAAATTATTATTATTTTGGTGGGATTCATTAGTCGATGCAAATATAAAACTTGGAAATATAACTCGATAATTGGACTTTGGTTTAAGAGAATTTACTTTATACAAAGTTAATATGGAATAGTAATAAACATGATCTTAAATTGTAATTTGAGTTTTAAGCTTTGAGAGACACATTATGAATTTAAAAAGGCAAATAAATGATTTTGAGGCTAAAATTGTAAATTAAATAGATTTCAGATATCAGCTATTTGTATTTATCAAACAACTCAAAATTCAAATATTAGCAAACAGGTTTCAGTTTTGTAGATTCTACACAAGATTAATTTTCAGATTTATCAATCAACACCGTAATCTTCTGTGGTTATTTTAATTATCTATTTTGTATTCTGACAGTATAATCATTTTGGCAGTGATATTCTGAATGATTTTTTCAAACCAATAACAGCTGAGATGGATCGCTTGAAATCAGTCAAGAAACATAGAATAGGTAGGAGATCAAAGCAACTTGAAAGGTTTGAGCAGAAAATGAAGGAAGAACGACAAAAGAGGATTCGTGAAAGGCAGAAGGAGTTCTTCAGTGAGATAGAAATTCACAAGTATGTACTCCCTTCAATTTTAAGACACTCTCATTCTTTCTCATTCAGTTTGTAGATATTTATTTAAGTTTTTCGTATAGTGCTTTTGTTTTGTGAACAGTCTACTAGTGGGACTTAACTTGATAACCTAAACTTTAGGGAAAGGCTGGACGATGTATTTAAGATGAAGAGAGAACGCTGGAAAGGTTTTAATAAATATGTAAGGGAGTTCCATAAAAGGAAGGAACGGATACATCGTGAGAAGATTGACAGAATCCAGCGAGAGAAGATTAATCTATTAAAAATCAATGATGTCGAGGGGTATCTTCGAATGGTTCAGGTCCTGTCTGGCTTATTTAATTTTACTGGATTAATGGTCCATTCTACTTCTATTATCATTCCTTAATGTTGTTGATAATTTTATAGGATGCAAAGTCAGATCGTGTTAAACAACTTCTGAAAGAGACTGAGAAATATCTTCAAAAGCTAGGGTCCAAACTACAGGAAGCAAAGTCCATTTCAAGTCACTTTGAGACTGATATGGATGAGAATCGAACTGCAAGTGTTGTTGAGAAGAATGAGTTTTCCATCGAGAATGAGGACGAAACTGACCAGGCAAAGGCAAGTTTGTTTGTTTGGTTGTTTTTTGTGCCCTTTCTGGATTTCATTATAATTTTCTTGCTCAACATGTTATTTTCGATCTGTTTTGCAGCATTATATGGAAAGCAATGAAAAGTACTATCTGATGGCTCATAGGTATTAACAACACTTCTTTTTCTTCTCCTGATAATTAGTTCTTATACACCTTGCTACTCAACATTGGATAGTTTTACATTGTGATATTTGTTTGGATTGTTGGCTTAAGCAAGCCTTCACTCTTCTCTATTCTTATTATCCTCTCAAGAGTTTGCTGTCTATAGCAGTTACTAATACCATACTGTATCTTGTGAATTAAACTTGGATGTTATGAGGTTTTTCATGACATTATTGAATTTTTGCCATCGCCAAATATTTGATTGTTGGTGTTGTTTTTTGCAGTATAAAAGAGAGCATTGCGGAGCAGCCAACTTGTCTTGTGGGTGGAAAATTAAGAGAGTAAGTTAAATAGGCATTTTTCTGGCCCCCAACACCCACCCACCCCCCCACAACCCCCCCCGCCCCCCCCCCCCCCCCCCCCCGCGGGGCGTTGAAAGAATCAGGCTTTTTTTTTTTTTCATTTTCATTTTGCAATTTTAATTTATAAAATGTGAATATAGATTTGGGGATAAATCTTTGTAATTTTAATTAGAAAATGTGTATGTAGATTCGGGGATAAAGCCTTTGTTTTGTTTGTCATTATCTGTTTTGAGCTTCTATATAACCATAGTTTGATATTCAGGTATCAAATGAATGGACTGCGGTGGTTGGTTTCTCTGTACAATAACCATTTAAATGGAATTCTGGCTGATGAAATGGGCCTTGGTAAAACTGTTCAGGTGTGTTTTGGTTTATAACCTGAGCATGGGTCTCTTTATAGTTATCTTCTTGTGCAAAATTTCTGATAACATGGGCTTTTGTAGGTTATTGCTCTAATTTGTTACCTAATGGAAACAAAAAATGACAGAGGACCTTTTCTGGTTGTTGTACCATCCTCTGTTTTACCTGGGTGGGAGACAGAAATTAACTTCTGGGCCCCCAGTATACACAGAATTATCTACTCAGGGCCTCCAGAGGAGCGGCGAAAGCTATTCAAGTATTGGCATATTACTTTTAATCAGCTTCTCTCATCTAACACACACGCAACACAACAACCCCCCCCCCCCCCCCCCCCCCCCCCCCCCCCCCCCCCCCCGGGCGCTGGTTTGTCAAATCATCTGAATGGCCAATTTCATGTTTTGTTAATGAAGGGAAAGAATTGTTCATCAGAAATTCAATGTCCTGCTGACGACGTACGAGTATTTAATGAACAAACATGATAGACCAAAACTGAGCAAAATACATTGGCATTACATTATTATTGATGAAGGCCATCGCATAAAGAATGCTTCTTGCAAGTTGAATGCTGAATTAAAGCACTATCAAAGCTCTCACAGATTGCTGTTGACTGGAACACCCCTTCAGGTCTCAAAATTTTGTTTCTTATTTGCCTGGTTTGTGCATTGTTTGCCTTTTCTTGTATTATGTTCAAGATATGTGACTTTTTATCTTTGCGTGAGGCCTTGCTGTCATTTCCACTTCATTGCCTTCCGCTCATTACTTTTTTGTGTTGATGTGATCCACTGATATGAGTTCTCTTTTCTTTCTTTTTTTTTTTTAAATTTTTTTACGTAGAACAATCTTGAGGAATTGTGGGCACTGCTCAACTTTTTGTTGCCCAATATTTTTAACTCGTCAGAGGATTTTTCTCAATGGTTCAACAAACCGTTTGAGAGCGGTGGTGATAATTCACCTGATGAAGTAAGTTCTTCCTATCCTGATTATTTTTCTATTCATATCAGTTTTGAGAACTCTAATATTATCTTTAATGCTTACCCTGGGTAGGCCTTACTATCTGAGGAGGAGAATCTTCTGATTATAAACCGTCTTCATCAAGTCCTGCGACCATTTGTACTAAGGAGACTGAAGCACAAGGTCCTTAAAATTATAATTATGTTTATCAGTTAAATTCTCTTCTGTGGTTTACCAGCATATTGAACTCGTTATCATCGTCGTCGTCATCATCATCATCATCATCATCATCCTTGCCTTATTCCCATGTGAATGGGTTTGCCACATGAATTCTCTATCTTAATTCTTTTCTATTACCTGCCATATCACCTACTATGTTTAACTTTTCAAATTAATTATCTGTTTGTTATCTATGTATATGTTTGTTTATCACATGCTTCCACTGGCCTAGTAGTTGGGGTTATGGTTTTGAGACTGAAACACTGATTTTGCGGCCAGGATTTTGTTCCGGCTCGGGTTGCGTTGCGACCCGGTTTGGGTCCAAAAATTTTTATGACCTGTTTTTTTCTTGCAGGTCTTGGACCTTGTTTAGGACTCTCTTGTAGCCTAGTATATAAGGGTGCTTAGGGTTTTGGAGTGGGTAATAAGAGAACACTGAAAATCGCGGGAAAGAGAGTGAGGGAGGGAGATAGGGTTTGGGGGCTGAAACTTGTAATCTTTTCACATAGTGAATTTTTCGCCGGTTCTTTACCGTGGAGTGGGTTTACGCCAAACCACATAAATCTTTGTGTTCGTTGTGTGGCATGTTTACTTTTCTATCGTGATTCTTGTTTTGTTCTTGGTTTTCTGTGTTTGTTGTAACAGATATTGTGTAATTTGTGATGAAACCTACTATTGGGAGGTGTGTGTTAAGTAATTCTTATTTGAGAATTTTTAAATTCTTTTCCTTGTCTTGTTCTAATCTTTATCTAATGTTCATGGATAGCTGTTCAGGGTTCCAGAATAGTCCCTATTTTCCTTCCCCAAATCATGCTTTATCAAGTCTAATTAATTATAACCCTTTTACTTACCTTTGACTGTTAAGTTTAACACAGGACCCTAAAATACTTGCTGCCCAGAATTTCGAGTAATGAAACCTTACACTTCCAAAAACCATGCCAATTCTTACTTTTTTCAACCCACAGAGCTTTCAATGTTTTTTTCTCTACCTTTTAAATCCCTAAACCTTGAAGTTTTCCATATTCTTTTCCCATAATAAAACTAGTTGTAGGTAATCCTTATGCGGTTTTTATTAATGTTCTGCACCAGTGGTGTGAAAGTTAAAGGGTCTGTTTTCATCTCTGTCATTATTTTATATGACTAATCTTCGTTTGGAATGGTGTCGAGTGCTTTGGTTTCAAGTTTGATGCATTGGCATGAATGAAAATGTCAGTCCAGTCGAGCACTTAGTTACTGAAGCATATGGCTTCACTGCATACTTCTGTGGACGTATTGGCAGTTGTTAAGTAGCCTAGTGGAATTGAAGGAAATAATTGACAAAACAATATGCTCTGGTACCTAGTGAAAGTTGCAATTCAGATGTTAGAAGAACCTAGCGAGGTGGGGAAGTGAATAGGGCTTATTCAAATTTTGATTACTTTACACGATATTTTAATTCAAGCTGATTCCAATCAAATTATTAACAAATCTTTAACCAATTCCCGAATCGATTAATTATGGCAATTAACACATTCATGTAGTTAATCAAGCAAGCAAGCACCCCATACGCCTGTAAACAATACACATGATTTGACGTGGAAAACTCTTAAGGCTACGTTTGGTATGGTGGAATAAGATGCTCATTCCAACTTCTCATAAATACCCTCACCAAACATGTATAAATACATTAGGTATAACATTAGTATGTGATATATAATATATATACATATATTATATTATAGTAAATCAATTATGTTAAATAATATATCTTATATGTAATAAAATATATAATGAATTTATAAACTATAATTTCTTTATAATATAATATTGACGTTTAATATAATTTAAATATAGCATATAATATTATTAAATATCTATTATATTATGATTAATAATATATATTAAATAAATAATAATTAATTAAAGATTTATAACGCATATAGAACTCCTGCATATTGCTCTTTGTTTTACCATGATTCAATTGGGATTTACATCTGGTCATTTTTTTGATGCTTTAATTCATTTTAGATTACAAATTACATCTGGCTTGCAGATTTGATTCCTGACATCATAGTTTTTTTTTCCTCTGTTCTTTGAATATTTCGTGAAAGCAATTTGTTTATTTTTTATTTTTTTATTTTTTGAATTCATGCTTCATGTTCATAGAATTTTGAGCTTGGAAGCTATTCTAAATTATTGTTGTTGTATTCTCAAATGCTTTTGGTAGGTTGAAAATCAATTGCCTGAAAAAATTGAAAGACTTGTAAGATGTGAAGCTTCCGCGTATCAGAAGCTTTTGATGAAGAGGGTTGAAGACAATCTTGGTGCTATTGGAGCTTCAAAGGTTTATTTCATTGTCCAATTTATTCTAAGTTTACGGTTTTATTTTAGTTAGGACTCATGATTCAATATTCCATTCTCATACACATTCACGAGTGCATGGACACACAACGTTATGTAGATACCTACATTCATACATATATTGTTGCCGCTATGTACACTGACTTTAAACTCACTGTTTTATTAGGCTCGGTCGGTTCACAACTCTGTTATGGAGCTACGTAATATATGCAATCATCCTTATCTCAGCCAGCTTCATTCGGAGGAGGCACGTTCTTTCTCTGTTCGTTTATGCTTTTGTTTGGTTCTTCGAAATGTTGTGGGTTGTGAAGGAAAGTATATGCTATGAAATTGTTTCCTCCGACATGCATGTTGAACATTTCCCTTTCCTATCCTTGGCTCTTTTGGAAATCAAAGAAAGATTTCAGAACAACTTTTTTGTTGCGCAGAAATTGCTGAATTGATATCCTTTTTAATTGTTAATTCAACATTGATCCCCTTTTGTAGGTTCATAATTTAGTCCCTAAGCATTATCTGCCTAATATTGTGAGACTTTGTGGGAAGCTGGAGATGCTAGATCGTTTACTGCCCAAGCTAAAAGCAACAGGTCATCGGGTATGAAACGACTTAACTATGTTTATGGGTATACCAAAACTTTATGGATACAAGAATTCAATGTTCTGTGCATTCACGATGATGGTACGATATATGCGTTATAGTAATGCATGAAGGTATCTGGCAGTTAATTGATGATGGATCAAATTTCTTAAATGAGTGGTTTGTGACTGAGGTTTTTGTTCATGCACTTTTTGCTCTCCTATTTTTTTCCTTTCTGAAAAGTTTTAGTTGTTATTACCTTTTTATGATTCTTAATTTTGTACAAAGATTTGTGATCTGTTTATCTGTTGGTAAGTAGAAGATTTATTCCCTCCATAGGTAGATTCGTTTGGAATGTATTTTATGTGTATCATTGACTAGAATTATGGGATAATAAGTTAGAGAATCCCACTAATATAAAAATTCATTCTAATTCATTTTGAGGAAAGTTAGGAAGGTTAGTTTCCTATTTTATCTCCCTGTGATTAGCTCTGTACAGGCTGTAATTTGTTTATATAAGCCGTGTATTGGCTTTCTCAATCAAATACAATTTTAATCTTTTCTCCTAAATTTCTCATGGTATCAGAGCACTAGGCTCTTTTCTGGGAATCACAGTCTCTTCAGCCTTAATTGCCAAAGAGATATTGCTCATTTTCTTCTTCTTTCTGTTTTTACTCTGTTTTTTGGGGTCAAAACAGAGTATCTTTTCTGGAAATGCCCTGGCCTTCATCGCCATTTTTCTCTAAGTTTATCTTTGGCCTTCATTGCCATTTTTCTCCGAGTTTATTCTTTTCTTAAACCCAATCCAATATGTCTGAGACCAAATCATCTTCTGAGGAAGTCATCTTGCATCTAGCATCCGGTGATCTGCAGAACATTCAGGCAGCATACAGACTGAATGGGAAGAATTTTTTGAAGTGGTCCCAATTTGTTCAGACCAATTTGAAGGGAAAAGGGAACTCAGCCATCTCCTAGGGTTGGGTCCAAAGAAAGGAGATCCAAAGTTCTATGCGTGGGATGAAGCAGATTCCATGATCATGTCATTATTGTGGAATTCAATAAATCCAGAAATCAGGGACACCTGCATGTTCTTGTCCATTGCCGGAGAGGTTTGGGATGCTGTTCAACAGACTTATTCGAAGGCTCGTTATGTAGCGCAAGTGTACATGATTAAGGTCAAGACTGGTGCGATGAAACAAGGTGGTAAGTCGGTCACGGAGTATGCGAATTCATTGTAGAATCTGTGGCAGGAACTTGATCATTACCGGTGCATTACGACTAAATGTTCAAAAGATGTTTCAATCTTGAAGGGCTTTATCGAAAAAGATCGAGTTTACGATTTTCTCGCAGGACTCAATGCTGAGTTTGATCAAGTCAGGGTTCAGATTCTTAGCAAGGAGGAGTTACCATCTTTAAATGAGACCATCTCTCTTATTCGAGCGGAGGAGAGTCGCAGGGGGGTTATGCTTGAACCCCAAGCCCTAGAAGGATCAGCTATGGTGACGAAGATAGAACGGTCATCAATTCAAGAAAGTGGGAAGGCAGATCTGTCACGGTTTCAAGGACAGTGAATAATGAACTTCACGACTCTGAGGTTTTTGCAGGTATATTTTAAGACAAAGAGACGGGGGTCCTATTCCTGTGCAAGTCCAAGATTCAACGCCTAATCCTGATAATGAGGTAAATACAACTCTAGAAACACCACATGATCATGATATTCCCATTGCCATTAGGAAAGGCACAAGAGAATGCACTAAACACCCATTGTACCCCTTAACGAAGGTTGTGTCATTTAAAAAATTCTCACAAGCACATAGGAGCTTCCTAGTTAGCCTAAACACTATTCATATTCCTAATACATTATTTGAGGCATTATCTGATGAGAAATGGAAAGATGCTATGAGAGAAGAGATGCAGGCACTAGAGAAGAATGGAAAATTGTCGACCTACCACTAGGAAAGAAGACTGTAGGATGCAAATGGGTGTTTACAGTGAAGTATAGGTCAGATGGATCTCTGGAGAGATACAAAGCCAGGCTCATGGCAAAGGGATACATGCAAACCTATGGTGTTGACTATTAGGAGACATTTGCTCCGGTGGCTAAAATGAGTATAGTAAGAGTTGTTATCACTAGCAGCCAACTTCAACTGGTACTTGGAACAATTTGATGTAAAAAATGCTATTCTTCACAGTAATTTGGAGGAGGAAATCTACATGGATATCCCTTTAGGCTTCAAGGGACGTCTAAGCAGCAACAGGGTTTGCAAACTGAAGAAAGCGTTGTATGGCCTGAAGCAATCACCAAGGGCTTGGTTTGGAAGATTTGCCAAAGTAATGCTTGCCACTGGATATAAACAGAGTCAAGGGGATCATGCTCTCTTTATTAAACACTCGAATGCAGGGGGAGTCACGACTCTTTTGGTATTTGTGGATGACATAATTGTGACAGGAAATGATGAGAAGGAGAAGGAAGCCCTGAGAAAATGCCTAATCAGAGAATTCAAGATAAAAGAACTAGGAAGGTTGAAGTACTTCCTAGGAATTGAAGTAGCCCATTCCAGAGAAGGCATTTTCATTTCACAGAAGAAATATGTAACTGATCTTCTAAGGGAGGCAAGGAAGCTAGCATGTAAACCAAGCTCCACACCGATTGATCCAAATCACAAACTCGGGGAAGTAAGTGAAGATCCAGCCGTTGACAAGGAAAGGTACCAGAGATTAGTGGGGAAGCTTATATACCTTGCTCACACAAGGCCAGACATTGCATATGCCGTGAGCGTGGTTAGCCAATTTATGCACAACCCAAGAGAAGTTCACCTACAGGTAGTCTACAGAATACTACATTATCCAAAAACTTGTCTTGGCAAGGGAATTTTATTTAAAAGGAACACTGGATTAGTCTTGGAGGCAGACACTGATGCAGATTATGCAGGCTCACCCATTGATAGAGTTCCACCACGGGTTATTGTACTTTCCTTGGAGGCAACCTTGTAACATGGATAAGTAAGAAGCAGAATGTGGTAGCTAGATCGAGTGCGGAGGTAGAGTTTAGAGCAATGGCTCAGGGAGTATGCAGTTACTATGGCTCAAGATAATTCTGGAAGATTTAAGAGTCAAATAGGAAGGACCAATGAGGTTATTTTGCGACAACAAGTCTGCCATTAGCATTGCTCACAATTCTGTTCAACATGAAAGAACAAAGCACGTGGAAGTAAATAGACATTTCATAAAGGAGAAGTTGGATAGTGGCTTAATTTGTACTCCGTACATCTCAACCAATGGTCAACTTGCTGATGTACTTACAAAAGGACTAGGAAGTGTAGCGTTTCAAGAATCTATTTCCAAGCTGGGAATGAAAGATGCATATTCCCCGGCTTGAGGGGGAGTGTTGGAAAGTAGAAGATTTATTCCCTCCATTGGTGGATTGGTTAGGAATGTATTTTATGTGTATCATTGACTTTCCTAGAATCATGGGATAATAAGTTAGAGAATCCCACTAATATAGAAATTCATTCTAATTCATCTTTAGGAAAGTTAGGAAGGTTAGTTTCCTATTTTATTTCCCTGTGATTAGCTCTATACAGGCTGTAATTTGTGTATATAAGCCGTGTATTGGCTTTCTCAATTAAATACAATTTTAATCTTTTCTCCTAAATTTCTCATTATCATCTGATTGTTTTCCAACAAAACGATATTTTTCCAAAGAGATAGATATAAAAGAGATAATGGCTCGTCAGCCCCTTTTTTTGGGTCTTTGCATTATTCGATTCCGATTTGCAAGGCTGTGAAAAGTGTACTTCATATTAGTCTTTTACCTATTCCTTAGCCAGTTGTTTTGCATGCGAAGCATTTCTAAGCATTCATGTGCATAGCTTTGCTTTTGTTCTACCTGTTCAAGGACTTTCTCTTACAATTTCGTATTACAATTTTTTTTTGGGAAAGTTTCCATTATATAGCTTACTGCGAGTTGGTCCTTCAGAGATTGATTTTTCATTATGGAACTTGTTATTTTACAGGTTCTTTTTTTCTCTACGATGACTAGGCTGCTTGACGTTATGGAGGACTATCTCTACTGGAAACAGTACCCGTACCTTCGCTTGGATGGACATACATCTGGTGGTGAACGTGGAGCCCTAATTGATAAATTCAACAAACCGGGTTCCCCTTTTTTTATATTTCTGCTCAGGTAATAAAGTATTCTAGGTTTAATTGACAATTGTATTATTATTATTAGTATTTTTTGATAAGTAATTGACAATTGTATTGTTATAGATTGAGTTGCTTATTTTTGCGGTTTTTCACTTTCAAGAGGTAGTAAAGTCGGCAATTACAGACATCTTTGGGGGCACTACATCCATTTTCTACATCACCTGTGAGAGCCTTCATAGAAATACTTGCAGGTTCTGCATTAGCTAGTTCAGGCACTTGTAGCACTTGGACTTTGTGCTTTTAGACAATCCTGTCAATCCTGTCCTCTGGATAGGAGATAATTTGGCTTTCTGGCAGCCTCACTGTGAGGTCGTTGCTCTCAATGGGTTTGAGGCATGCAACTGCTGCTGCGAGTCTTTAGTTTAGCTACATATAATTACCCTCTTGTAAATCCGTTGAGCTTGTAATGACATTCCGGGCTATTCTTATTCTATTGAGAACCAAACTAGTATAGAGCTCGGTGGCCCTTTGTGCAAAACCTGGCATTGGGTGTTATATCAGGATGTTGAAATCATCCTGATGTAGGTAACGGAACCCCCTATTCTTAGGGATCAAAGGTGTGAATTGATGACCTAAAGCCCAACAGATACCAAAATCGGGTATCCAGGCCATGGTATTTTGTTTGATTTTTTTAAATTGGCCTTCTCTGATGAGTACTTTCAAGTAATCTGTGCAAGAGTCTGTTTTGGCTTTCTTATTTTTACTTACCACCTTGCCATTCAAAATCGAAGCTTCTAACCACGGACTAAATTCAAATCCACCAATAAATCTCACATCATCTTTGAGAATCTCTTTTTACACTCTTTGATAATATGACCAAGGCGGCGGCAATTATAGCAGATTGAGGCATCCATGAGTTTGTTAATACTGTGGACCTTACTTTACTGCTGATGCCCCTATCCTGGGATATTTGTATATTTACGCCTAAGCGCCCCTCCCCCGCCATGAGAGAAGAGTCTTGAGAGAAAATATGAAGGAGTGAAAGGTGCGAAAGAACCTCTGGGCAGTGTGACTGATGTAGAACCAGAAGAGAGGAGAGAAAAGGAGAGAGAGGGAAGAAGAGAGCAGAGAAGAAGGATTGGGGGAGAAGTAGTTTTTAATTCAACAATTAGTATTCAATATTCTGAGGTACCTAATCCAATATATGTGTTTTGTATATATAGGCAATACAAAGAACCCTAATGTCCAAAATAGCTGCTGCAAACATAAAAAGTCAAAAATGGCTTCCATGAGCCTATTGAGACATGTAGCCATGCTGTCTATCCTTTGTGCTGGCGCTGATAATAGGTACGCTTAGGAGGCGATGCATGAGATATAGTGTGATCTCCACATCTCCATTCTGTGTTTTAGGTTATGTCAGGAGTGGTTTGTCACTCATCAGGAGTGACAATGATGCACCAAATTTGGCACTTTGGTGAATAGAGATGGCGCGTGAGTTAAGTCATAATCCTGTTCAGTTTTGTATTTATCCTGTGCTGGAGTGGTGTCCGTACAAGTGTATATATGTTAACATGTGGGTGTTAGTCAATTGAATTGTTCCTGGAGGTCTGACCTTTAATATGTGGTGTTAGCATTCGGGCTGGAGGCGTTGGAGTGAATCTTCAAGCTGCTGATACTGTAATCATATTCGACACAGATTGGAATCCACAGGTGAATATGCAATACAGTGCCTTGAATAATTGACTACCAAGTCAAAACGATAACTTACTAATTCTTTTTTTTTTTTTTTCTTTGCATGTGTGCTTTATGTGTGTGTACCTTTTGTCAGGTTGATCTTCAAGCACAGGCAAGAGCTCACAGGATTGGCCAGAAAAAGGATGTGCTTGTTCTTCGTTTAGAAACGGTGAGTACCTTGGGGTTAGATTTCTTGGATTTATTGGTAAGATATTGGTTTTAAACCCAAAAAACCTGGCTGATAGCCAGTCATCCAACGAAAATATCGTTTAAATTTTTCTGTTGATCTGCTATACCATATTGGCTAAAGAGAGTTATTTTCTGAATCACTTTGTTTTTTCTTCTCTCTCTCTCTCTCTCTCTCCTTTTTTAATTAATTGAAATTATTGCTATTTTTTCCAAAGTCGGAAGTATTATGCATGATTTCAGTATTTACTTCGTTTTTTTTTTTAAAAAAAAAAAAAAAAAAAAATCTTCTTTATAGTTTGAACTGTTTTTCCAGTTGGAGTGGCTAAATACCCTTTTAGATGAGTTATGTTTTGATGAAATCTTACTTATCAAAAAAGAAAGAAAAGATGTAATAGTATCGGATGAGCTGAGGATACGAGCTTCTTAAGGGCCTAGTTGGAAAGCTTTGTTTGTTGAGTCTCTTTTAGTTCAGGTTTGGAATCATTTTGCGAAATTTGGCAGGGAGAGAGACTATGGGGCTGAGAGGAGCTTGGCATATATGATTAGTTTGATAGGAAGCTTGGGCCCGTACTGTCTCCTAGTGCATTTCCATCCTGGATTCTAGAGAATCTTTCTTCTCATTCTGATAACAGTGTCATTACATTTAGTTGATAACGTCCATTTGGCTGCTGAACCAGCATGTTGTTCTACAACCCTTTTTCATCTTTAAGATTGCATAAGACCTGTAATTTTGCAGAAAAGATATCCCAAACTTGCTATACCTTAATTTTTCTTTATGTGTTTAATAGTTCCAATACTGGGAATACTAATGGTTGCTTAAAAGGAAAAATAATAACCAAAGTTTAGCAATATGCTTCTCTTTCAAGCTATTCAATGTGTATCATGTGGCACATGTTGTTACATCATTCAGTTTAAGGCCTTATTTAAACATTTGTGTTCTTCAATAATGCCTGCAATGCAAATTCTTTGCATGGCTTTAAAAGTTTGTGATATGTGTGTGGCAGTGTATCTATGCGTAAAAGAATTTGCTCCTATAATGTATAGGGTCTGGGGCATAGATAAATGTTGTCAGATTCCAACTACACTTGGCCATCGGAATTTTGCCCCCTGAAAAAGAGAGAAAAGAATGTAAATTTAAATGTTTGCTTTTAATCTTAATGAATTAAGATATGTTTCTAATTTGTGTTCCTTAAAATGCCGAAAAAAAATATCAGTGTGAATATTAATATTAATACAGTCAAAGATGTGGTATATGTTACTAGTAACTGTTGAGTAACTATCGAGTCACCTTTAAGACATATCATATCATGTTGTGTTTCATAGGATTCTATCAAATTAAAAATTTAATTTCAAATAACTTCAACCTCATCCGCAGACCTCCCGGGCAAATTTTCTCCATTTACTTATCTGCAGCCCTCATTTCCCATCACCCCTACCCAATTTTTAGGAAGAATGAATTGTACACCCAACCAGGACATCTTTCTGCCTTCTTAGTATAAATGACAATTGTTCCAGTTTTAGCTTAGTGGCTCTATGAATGATGGAAACTCGGCATTCTATACATTCTATTAATACATTGATCATTTTTTTTCGTCAATTTTGTATGGTTTCTTGACGAGAAATCTAGACTTCGAAATCTTTGAATGCTGAATTGACTTAATTGCGCTGTATGTTTTTATACTTCCCTGTTGATTTTATTGATGTATAGATCCTCTCTTATCTTCAGTTTTTTATGAGTTGTGATATTAGTATTCTGAACCTGTATTTGCTGAATCATGTTGAACTGTTGAAACAAGGTCCAAACTGTTGAGGAACAAGTTAGAGCCTCAGCTGAGCATAAACTGGGAGTCGCTAATCAGAGCATTACTGCTGGTTTCTTTGACAACAACACAAGGTAAGTTGGAATATTTTTTTTTTTGATAAGTAAAATTTATTGAAAACGCTCAAAAAAAGGGGAGCGGAACCCAAGATAACAAAAAGGCCACAAAGCGCCTTAAATCTTCAATGAGGCCAAAAATACAATAATCTCCTCAATGGATTTATAATCTCTCCCTGACACCCAACAAAAAAGAGTGGAAATAATAGAGAACTTAAGCGTAGAAATAGATTTCTTCTTTCCATCAAAATATCTCCTATTTCGCTCGAGCCAAATGCACCACCAAATACAAAGAGGCGTAGCCCTCCAAGCCTCCCGAATAAGAGCCCCAACAGAGACACCTATCCAAGCCTCAATCAACCCTCTAGAAGACCTAGGCATAACCCAGTGGATTCCAAATAATCCAAGCATCAAATCCCAACAATCTCTGGCCATACTGCAGTGCAAAAGGAGGTGGTCAACTGTTTCTTCATCACACAAGCACATATAACAATGATTGACCACCACTTGATTCCTCCTCCTCAAATTATCCTGGGTTAAAATCTTGCCTAGGACGGAAGTCCATGCAAAAAAGGCAACCTTAAGGGGGGCTTTAGACCGCCAAATAGACTTCCAAGGGAAAGAGCCTCCATAATCAACCGAAAGGCACTTAAAGAAGGACCTAACCTCGAACCGACCGTGAGAGTTAGGAACCCAAAACCAGCAATCCGAATCCCCAACAATGATCGCCTGACGGTACAAAACTTCCAAAAGACGAGTAACATCCTCAATCTCCCAGTCCTGAAAGTGCCTCCTAAAGTTTGGTACTGATCCAATCAGTTTGATGTGGCCTTGGCTTCTGCTGAATATTTTCTGGAATTCAATCACAGTGCCGAAGATCGAAGAGAGTACTTGGAGTCCCTCCTGCGGGAGTGTAAGAAAGAGGAGGCTGCTCCTGTTTTAGATGATGATTCTCTGAATTATCTTATTTCCCGCAGGTAAATGTGTTTCTAGCTTTTCTTAATTATTTGTTGCCTTTGATGTTGATGTGTCTGGTAACTCGCGCTCCGACTGTCTGACATTGAGGATACAGAAGTCATTCTTCCTATTTTTAATGATTTTTCGTTAAATTTGTCCAATGTTGTTGATAATGACTATGCAATAGGTGTGACTTGATATATGGTAGTCACTATAATCTGGAACACATGAATGTAGCTTTCTGAATATTAATTTTATGCAAGATATCCTTTCCCTGATAACTTAGGGACAGGTAAACAATGATGCTTCACCTTTCTTTTTTATTTAAAGCCTTAGTCACTGGTTAGTCGTAACCCACTATGCTATGCCTTGTCTTTATATAAAAGAAGCAGCAGAACTGATGGCTTAGGGTTTTCTGCAACTGGAATGCAATTTCTCGAAAGTTATGTCTTTTTTAAGGACTCGATCAATTTTCTGTGTGACATTTAAAGCATAAGCTTTCATTCTTCATGTACTTCATTGCTATGTTATTTTCCCGTAATTTACATTGTAGTTCCTTTATTTTGGTTGTGTTCTTTTTTTAATTGTCAAGTTGAAATTTTCATGATACTTTATTTGGTGGCAGTGTGTCAGAGATTGATATATTTGAATCAGTTGACAAGAAGAGGCGGGAGGAAGAGATGGTATGGGATTACAATTTCTTGGGAAGATATTTATCAATATTTTAGGCTGCAGAACTATCTTTGGATTTTGGGTTACCGCTGCTCCGATAGAATGACTTACTAATGCTGTTGAATTCTGCAGGCAACGTGGAAAAAGTTGGTATCAGAACAGGGGCGAGATGGTTCCGAGCCTGTTCCTTCCATGCCTTCCAGGCTCCTAACAGAAGATGACTTGAAACAATTCTATGAAGTGATTAAAAAATATGAAGCATCAAATGCTGGGGTGGTATCTAATGTGGGGATGAAGCGGAAGGGTGGGTCTCTTGGTGGGCTTGATACCCAACATTATGGAAGGGGAAAACGAGCAAGAGAGGTCTGTGTATAAGCTTTTATAGCCTCTGCACATTCCTATTGCATCCTGCCCTTTTTTGTATATATGTATACGTATTACCTTTTGTCGCTAAATGCTGTGATAGTCATTCCAAAACATTGTCTTTTCTTTTCTTTTATCTTATAATCTCTATCTTTTGTTTCCTCAGGTGCGTTCCTACGAAGAGCAATGGACAGAAGAAGAATTTGAAAAATTGTGTCAAGCTGAGTCTCCTGAATCCCCAAAAGTGAAGGAAGAAGTGCTAGAAAAGCACTTGCCAGAAGTTGCGAGTGGGTCTATTGAAGTCTGTGTTAAAGCCGAACCACCAGCACCGCCAGAACTGCCACCACCAGAACTGCCACCACCAGAACTGCCTTCACAACCTATTGTAGAGTTGCCAATACCGCAAAGACAAATGGTAACACCCCCATCTAGACGGGGCCGTGGAAGGCCAAGGAAAGCAACTGCAGAAATCCCTCAATCTCCAGTGGTTCTTCCCACACCATCTGGAGACAGCAAAATGGATATGAAGTCCCAGAGTGAAACAATTTCTAGCAGTCCACCTACACCGGCTCCTGATTCTTTACCTAATTCTGCTACTGTAAAAGGTATTACTGGGACCATCCCTCAGTTTGGTGTATTGATTGCTCCTAGCTCTCAGCCAACCCAGCTTCACCCTTCTATTGATGTTACCTCATCAATTACTGTTCCTTCCCCTTCCATACCCGTGCAAGTTAAAGGACGAAGTCAGAACACCCAACGTGGAGAAAAAGTACCGCGGCGTAGGGGGAAAAAACAGAGTGTATCACCTGCTGTTCCAGTTCTTCCAACTCCTGCAACTGGTGAACCAGAATTGGGTTTACAGGGAGGAGCGATTTCCAGTTTGCCAATGGCTTCTGGACAAAAGTCTCCAAATGGTGAAAAAACACCCCGGCGTAGGGGGAAAAAACAGAATGCAATATCACCTACAATTTCTGCTGCTCCTGGAACTATCCAAGCGGACATCGCTCTACACAGAGGAAACATTTCCAGTTTATCAATGGCCTCTGGTCCTGGTTCTGTTGCTGGCTCTATTATTGTATCTAGTGTTAGCAAGGAACAAGGTCCCGTTTCGCCTGTTCCACTTCCAGCATCTTCTCAAACAAGCAAATTGGAGGTAAAAAGTGATATCTCTGCTGAACCTGTTGGGAATATGATAGAATTGAGACAGCAAAACAAAGAAAACAGAGAAATGGTTGATTTAAAGCAGGATACAATATCGACTGTTGTTCCAGTTCTTCCTGCTTCTGGAACTGGCAAACCAGACATCGTTTCACAGAGGGAAACAATTTCCAATTCCCCAATGGCCACTGGTCCAAAGGCCCAACGTAAAGAAAAAGCACCCCGCCGTAGGGGGAAAAAACAGGCTGTGATGTCACCTGCTGGTCCAGTTCTTCCAGCTCCTGTAACCGGCCAAGTAGACATTGGTTCACGCAGAGAAAATGTTTCGGTTTTTCCAATAGTCTCTGGTAGTGATTCTGTTTCTGGCTCTAATACCGTAAATTGTCTTAGCAAGGAACAATATCTGGTTTCACCTGTTGCCCCAGTTCTTCCAGCAGCTTCTGCTAGGAAACAAGATCTGGTTTCACCGGTTGCTCCAGTTCTTCCAGCAGCTTCTGGAACAATCCAATTGGATGTACAAAGTGAGTCCCCTGCGGAACCTCTCAAGAAAACGGTTGATCCAGGACAGCATGGTAAGGAAAAGTTGGATATAGGAAGTACTATGATTGTTATTTCTAAAGTTGACAAGTCTCTTGGCGGTGGAAATGTTGTTGTCTCTGATGTTGTACCTACCTCAAGTGACCTTACAACAAAGATGTCTGAAAATCAATCTGGAGAAGTAGATGCAAAAGAAAATGTGAGCATTGTCCCTGTTCTTGATGAAACCCTTGTTTCAAGGCCTGAGGTAGCTGAGAATCAAAATTCCAAGGAAAAGTTCTCTTCAACAGCCTCTTCTTTAAAAACAACTCCTCAAAATTTGGAGCTTCCAATTGAGAAGTATGAGAATCAATTTAAGAGAGGAATTGATGCAACAGTACAAGAGAGCGAGGTTCATGTTCTCGACGAGGCACTTGTTTCAATGCCTGGGGTGATTAAGAATCAAAGTTTGGAGGAAGAGGCATTTTCAACTTTATCAACTTCAGGAACTGCAACTCCAATATCAGACCTTCCGATTGGAAAGTCTGAAAGTCAACCCGTGAGAGAATATTCTGCAGAAGCACATGAGAACACTGATCGGGAGGCCCTTGTTTCAATACCTGAGGTGGCTGGGAATCAAAATTTGGAAAAGGCTTTTTCAGCTTCCTCACCAATTCCTGTTTTGGACCTTTTAATTGAAAAGTCTGAGAGTCAATTTGGGATAGAAACTGAAGCAGAAGTGCAAGACATTGTCTCTGCTGTTGTACCTATGTCAAGTGATCTTCCAGCAATGATTTCTGAAAATCAATATGGAGTAGATGCAAAAGAGAATGTGAATACTGTCCCTGTTCTTGATGAGACCCTTACTCCAAGGCCTGAGGTGGCTGAGAATCAAAATTCTGAGGAAAAGTTCTCTTCAACAGCCACTTCTTTAAAGACAGCAACTCAAATTTTGGAGCTTCCAATTGAGAAGTCTGAGAATCAACGTAGTAGAGAAATTGATCCAGTACAAGAGAATGAAGGCCATGTCCTTGATGAGGCAATTGTTTCAGAGTCTGGGGTGAGTAAGAATCAATGTTTGGAGGTAAAGGCATTTTCAACGTTGTCAACTTCAGGAACTGCAACCCCAATATTAGACCTTCCGATTGAAAAGTCTGAAAATCAACCTGGGAGAGAATATTCTGCAGAAGCACATGAGAACCCGGATCGAGAGGCCCTTGTTTCAAAACCTGAGTTAACTGGGAGTCAAAATTTGGAGGAAAAGGCTTTTTCAGCTTCTTCACCAACTCCAGTTTTGGACCTTTCAATTGAAAAGTCTGAGAGTCAATTTGGGATGGGAATTCAAGGAGAAGTGCAAGAGGTTGTTTCTGATGTTGTATTTACGTCATGTGACCTTCCAGCAACAATTTCGGAAAATCAATATGGAGAAGTAAATGCCAAAGAGTGTGTGAATACTGTCCCTGTTCTTGATGAGACCCTTGTTTCAAGGCCTGAGGTGGCTGAGAATCAAAATTCTGAGGCCTCTTCTATAAAAACAGCAACTCAAATTTTGGAGCTTCCAGTTGAGAAGCCTGAGAATCAATTCAAGAGAGAAATTGATGCAACTGTACAAGAGAACGAAGGCGGAACTGCAACCCCAATATTAGACATTCCGATTGAAAAGTCTGAAAGTCAGCATCAGAGAGAATATTCTGCAGAAGCACAAGAGGACACGGATCACCTTCTTGACGAGGTTGCTTCAAAGTCTGTGGTGACTTTGGAGGAAAAGGCTTCTTCACCAACTCCGGTTTTGGACCTTCCAATTGGAAAGTCTAAGAGTCAATTTGGGATAGGAACTGAAAAAAAAGTGCAAGACGTATTCGCTGATGTTGTGCCTAGGTCAAGTGATCTTCCAGCAGAGATGTCGGAAAATCAATCTGGAGAAGTAGATGCAAAAGAGAAAGTGAACGCTGTCCCTGTTGTTGATGAGACCCTTGTTTCAGTGCCTGAGGTGCCTGAGAATCAAAATTCTGAGGAAAAGTTCTCTTCTACAGCCTCTTCTTTAAAAACAGCAACTCAAATTTTGGACTGTCCAATTGGGAAGTCTGAGAATCAATTTAAGAGAGAAAGTGATGCAACAGTACAAGAGAACGAAGGCGGAACTGCAACCCCAATATTAGACCTTCCAATTGAAAAGTCCGACAGTCAACCTGTGAGAGAATATTCTGCAAAAGCACAAGAGAACACCGATTGCCTTCTTGACGAGGCCCTTGTTTCAAGACCCGAGGTGACTGGGAATCAAAATTTGGAGGAAAAGGCTTTTTCAGCTTCTTCATCAACTCCAGTTTTAGACCTTTCAATTGAAAAGTCTGGAACTCAATTTGGGATAGGAACTGAAGCAAAAGCGCAAGACGATGTTTCTGATGTTGTTCCTATGTCAAGTGACCTTCCAGAAACGATGTCAGAAAATCAATTTGGAGAAGTAGATGCAAAAGAAAATGTGAGCATTGCCCCTGTTCTTGATGAGACCCTTGTTTCAAGGCCTGATGAGGTGGCGGACAATGATGCAACAGTACAAGAGAACGAAGGTCATGTTATTGACGAGGCACTTGCTTCAGGAACTGCAACCCCAATATTAGACCTTCCGATTGAGAAGTCTGCAAGTCAACCTGGGAGAGAATGTTCTGCAGAAGCACAAGAAAACACCGGTGTCCCGTGCCCAGATGATGTATTGGTGGGACAGACTTCGGCAGTTACTCCCACTGCTGGCCAAAAGGATGATGTTCAGTGCCCGGAAATCCCTGCTCTTGATGCTCCTGCCGATGGTTCTTGCGCAGGAACTCCTAGCATTGAGGTGGATTCAACATTGAGATCTGAAGGTGCACAGGAGTCTACTACTCGTGGAACAGAGAATCAAACTTTGCCTCCATGTTCATCACCTTAAAACTTTGTTACAGTTGTATGATTCTTACTGTGTCCCTAATTATTGTTTACGATATATGTGCTTACATCATCTTCCTCTTTCCTTTCGTTTTGCTCTTGTAAATACACATTGAACTAGCCATTAACCACCTTATTACAATATTAATGTTTATACATGGGATGCGTAGGTTGATTACTCGTGTTTAGCAGATCGAATGTATTTATATTTGCACAGGTTGAGTACTTGTGTTTAGTTGATCAAATTTATTTATATTTGCATGGCTTTACTCACACTCTTTATTTATTTATTTATTTATTATTATTATTATTATTATTATTTCCTAGCAAATGAGGGGGAGTCGGGACTCGAAAATGGGCACACCGGGAGGAGTTAGGCGCTCTAAGGGCCGGCTTTCCTTTATTTCGCAAAGAAAGCTTACGAACTATTGACATAATTTGCATTGTTTGCCCTGTGCTCTCTTGTAATAGTGTTGGTGCATGTGAAAAGAATTACTGTTAATTGCCCATTTTGCCCCTTTGATGGACGAAAATGTCGTTGGATCAGATGATTCAGATGTATTCATATGATGAACCATATATACAGAATGAAAGAAAAAGTCTTAATAAAGGCAAATGAAGAAACTTTTGAGAGGTAGGTTAGAGAGCTGTTGATGCTCTATGGAGTTTTTCTAATTAATTTTATTATTTTTTTTCTGATATAATAACTGTAGATATAACAATTATGAAAAAAATACTCCTATCCAAAATTAAAAGTTCCTTTTAGGGTATCTAATTTTTTAAGAGATCGAGTTTTTAATATTTTTTTATTATATTGATAGTCAAATAATTACCAAATTTGTCTATCTGTGATGGTTTACTATTTGTAAATTCAATGCCAAAAGGTTAAAATAGTAATGTTAAAAAAATAGTATATATATATATATTTTTCATAATACTTTGACTTTTCAAGCAAGACCATAAAAAAATAAATATTTAATTTGAAGCAGACGTAGTAATATTTATAAATATAAGGGCAAATAAGTCAATTATTTATTTTAAAAGTCCTGATTTGTGAACTTGTTATAATTAACTTGCATTTTTATAAACAATGTTAAGAAACTAAACACTTCAATGGCACCTTTTACGAGTCAAAGTCTCACAAATCGCCATGTGGCCATTTTATTTCAACAATTTAAACGATGTCGTTTTCATTTAAATAATTTGCGGATTTGGTACGTGCATCTTTCAAGCCCCCCTCCTCTCTCTCTCTCTCTCTCTCTCTCTCTCTCTAAGGGTGTGTTTGGATAGTATTAGTTATAAGAGAAAAGAAAAGAAAAGAAAGGATAGTATTAGTGAGAAAAGAAAAGAAAAGAAAAGAAAGGATAGTAATAATTTCTATTTGTGTTTGGATAGACAGGGGAGAAAAGAAAAGAAGTGATAGTTATTTTTGTTTGAATAAGATAGAGGAGAGAAAAGAAAAGAAAGGATAATAGACAAATTACTTTTTTATCCTTTCATAACCATGGGACTTGGATGGAATAATAAATCTGTGTATTGATTTGTGGAGGCTAATTTTGGTATTATCAAAATACCACTAAAATCACTATCCTTTCTCTCACTATCTCTCCCTATCTTCTCAATTTTGAGGAGAAAGCAAATAAGAGATAAGGAGGGATAGCTATCCCTCCCTATCTCTCCTTATCCCTCCCCATCCCTCCACTTAAGTTACCCAAACACAAACTTACACTATCCTCTCTTTTCTTTTCTCTCCCTATCCCTCCAAATCAACCCTACCAAACACACCCTAAAAGTCTCGATAATTCTCGAGTGCCATTCAGCCGTCTTTACAGAAATTCTCGGACTTTCCCACTCATTTTCCCGGAAAATTCCCGAGAAAATCCGATGGCCTCTTCCAGGCTCCCCTGGCGACTCGCATCTCGTCTTCTCCTCCGCAACACCACCCTCCTCCAACTCCAACCCTCTCTTCACCACCACCAACCCCCAATCTTCACCATCCCCAAATCTCCATCGTTGATCTCCTTCCTCCAATCTCAGCGCTCCGATCTCCGCTTCTTCTCCACCGCCCGGCGGAAACCGGTCCGTCCCAACAAGGTCGACATCGGCGCACGCGCTCGGCAGCTCCAGAACCGCCGCCTCTGGACCTATGCCCTAACTTTCAGCTGTATCGCAGGCTTCGTAGTCATAGTGCTCAACAATTTTCAAGATCAATTGGTTTTCTACGTCACTCCCACTGATGCTCTTTCCAAGTACTCCACAAACCCTTCCAAGAGCAAGTTCCGACTCGGCGGTTTGGTGCTCGAGGGCAGTGTGGCCCAGCCGGCGTCGTCGCCGGAGATGGAGTTCGTGATTACCGACTTAATTACCGACATGTTGGTCCGGTATCAAGGGTCGTTGCCGGATTTGTTCCGAGAGGGGCATTCGGTGGTGGTGGAAGGGTTTGTAAAGCCGCTGCCGGAGGAAATCAAGAAGGAGGTGTCGGCGAAGAGTGTTTCCGGTAAGGCGAGGAGTGGGGACTGTTATTTTGCGGCGACGGAGGTGCTGGCAAAGCACGACGAGAAGTATATGCCTACGGAGGTGGCGGCAGCAATCGAGAAGAATAAGAAGAAGATTGCAGCAGGTGAGGTGGAGGGTGTGGAAGCTACAGTTTCTGGCTCGTAGATAAATGGGTATGATATGATATTGAATATATAACTTCTTGATTATTCTACTGTTTGAACTGCATTGAGGAAACAAATATGAATTTTGCATTGAGGAGGGTAGATAGAAAAAATAGTCTTTTTGATTCAGACTTTTGAGTTTATGATTTTGTTGTTGTAGTGCGAGATTTATTGCATTTGATTATGATCATTTAACATTTGTGTGGGTTTAGGCCCTTGATTTGAAGGAATAATAAATAAATGCCATTCAGGATTCAGTTATTATTTTATTTTTGCTGGCAGATGTCTGATAATATTTGTAGTTTCTTTGAAGAAATTTATTTGGATTCTTATGAGGTGCTCTGTAATGAGTCAAGAGAATTTTCTGTTTGTGATATGTTATGTAAAAATGCACCTGGTTTAAGGATCTTGAGGTCTTCAGGACAAAGCTGGACAAACACTAGGTTATGCTGTGGAATTGTAATTATCTCATACTCTGTAGAAACTCATTTTGAACTGGTTATATCACATAATCTGCAAAATAATTCCTAGAATTTATAAAAATGGTTTATGAAATCAGACCAGTTGGCTGCAAGGTAGTTATTGAGCAGCCTGTATTGATAGCATCTAGTGTTGTCTTCAGTCTGCGTATCTCTTGAATTGCTGGGCACTTTTGTGATGCACCCACTCTCACCAATAATCCAGTTAATATTCAATTAGGAGTTTGGGTCGCAACATAAGTACAGTCGCAACATAAGTACATTGTACTGTGCAGCTTCGGATTATTACGTTGTTGTAAATCATATGAAGTTTAATACTGTTTTGTTTTAGTGTTATTAATTTTTTCCCTTTTGTAATGCTTGGGAGAGGGATTGGTGCTCACAATGTAAATCTATCTTGGAATTTTTGAGCTGTGCATGATCCTCACAAATGGAGCCTTTCTGATAATATAGGTTTCTCATTGGCAGTTCGCTCTCCTCCGTCTCTTTATGTGGGCAAATGAAAAAAGCAAGTTGGCGTTGTAGTTGAATATCACCTAGATTATTATTACAGTAAGGTAATTTGAGGGTGCATCTATGATTTGTGCAGAATCAGGTTTTTGTTCCTCCTTTTGGGATGTGAAAATTTACTAGGATTTTATGCGTTTTAGACATTTATGAATTCACAGAGGTTAGGATTTTTGTGGCCAGCTTTCTGTGGCTCCCTTAATTTTGTGCGAGGAATTGCTTTATTTAGTAATGGGAAGGAGGTTACTTCCCGAAAATGCCCCACTCATAGGTTCATTTCGTTGGGGCTAAATTTTTTCCTTTATTTCAAAATTTTATTTTATAGCGTCTTATTTTATATTTAATTTTGAAAGTTCAAGCAAAATTGCACACACCCACAATATATTCCCCTAACAGGGCTCGAACACTCAACGTCACCCTCAGTACTATGTTTTTGCACTCTTGGTCTGCCAACTTTTTACCTCTTTTCAGGTCTTTCAAATATATATATATATATATATATATAAATTTTTTATTTTATTTTGTTTGGTATCTTGTTGTTAAATTATTGTATACAGAAGCTGTAAACATGTGCTTCTTTTTCCGCATCATTTTCACATATCTGTCTTACAATGAGATTATAAGTTTGCAATTAGTTTTAAGAGACTTTGATCTGAATTCCTTAAGATTCTTAATAATATTATTTTTGTCTATTTAATCACATTGAACATCGGTGATTTATTGAACCTCAATTTTAACCATTTAGAAGGGCTGACCACATAGTCCAGAATCCAGAATGGCGTGATCAATTTAATTAGGTAATTTCTAGATGTTTCTTATAGTTTCTTTGTTCTCCATTGTTCGAAATGTTTATGGTAAGTTCTGTTTGTATACAAAATGTAGTTTAAAGTGTAACAGGCAACTTCAGAGTTCTCAAACCGTGATTCTGTTAGAATCTTGGTTGAGTCAGAACACAGTAGTTCCCATCTTTTATGCCCCAGCTAGAGAGACCAAGATAGAAGCTAGGTTGTTAATCAACTAGCGAGGCTTCAACTTTCTCATTGGTTGCATTTAATCTATGAAAGGTTGCATCAAATAACCTTCAAACAACTTCACCATGACATTAAGAACCACCTTATGACCCTTCTATACCTTATTCTGTAGAATGCAATATCTCTTGCATCTTGTAGTGGAGTGAGGAATGGTTGAAGATCTGAGATGGACCCAAAAGCAAAAGCAAGAAATGAGTTGACAAAAATCATCTACTTTTTGCTTCTTTGTACTACCTTTTTTTTACTGGTTTGGGTTATGGATGTTACAAGAAAAGTGTGCCATGTGCATCAAAATTGTTAAGTGCTTTCCTTTCTTTAGTTGGGTTTTTTTAAAGAAAGGAGCGGGGCAATGTTACTCCACTCGCCATAGATAATTACCTGTTCCGGCTGAGCTGCAGGTCATACCATTTATACATGTCTTTAGATCAAGTGACATTATAAGATTGTGTACCAAATATTGGCGTTGACAATATGGGGTGTTTGGGAGGGTAGGATTGTAACGCAAAGTAGCTGTTGTCATTCTTAAACTGGCATTCTAACCCTTGGCAACTGGACATAATCTCGTATTATTATTGAGATAATATGAGGGGATATTGAAAATTGTATATCATGCAATTGAGAAGATGTCTTGGGATTAAGCAGTCATTGCAGATTAAGAATTTGGGATTAAGCAGACATTGGTAAGATGTCTCACAGGTTGGATGAAAAAAAAATCCTTATCGAGTTTATTATTCACCATGGTTTTTTGTTTTTTATTTTTTTGGGTTTGTTAGCAGGTGTCCATAAGACGAAGAACCTTCCACTTTATTTTGGGGGGTCAACCAGTACATGTTCATCTGCAGTTTGCATTTTTATTTCTGATGGCAAAGACTAAAGGGATCGCCATCTTATTTCACTTGCTGATTTCTTTCAAAAGGGTTCAAATGTAGATATATTTACTTAAGAGGAAATTTCTGTCCTCTTCTCTCTCTCTCTCTCTCTCTCTCATGTGAGTTCCTCTTGTTTGCATACACATTCATGTTTTATATGTCCACTAAGAGATTTCAATTCTTTCTGTTTATATAATCATCCCCAAGGGCACGATCTTCAACCCTTCTGGATTAAGTGATTTATGTATTTAGGGGCAAATGTGAGGCATCATCCTCTTGAAGATTAAGCTGTTAGACTCAAGTGTTTTCCTAAGAAGATATGAAACCTCTACCTTGTAAAATTTGATGTGCCTTCCTCTCTTTGTATTACCCCTTATGATCTGTGTTCGAGGGAACAATGGGAGGAAAGAGAGTAAAGGACATCCTTTTCAAGTAACTTCTCGCTTACATTGATATTTAGGTTGATTTTTTGATATTTTGGCAAAAGGGGAGTGAAAGGCACCATTTTCAAGTAATTTCTGAATTACATTTATATATGGGTTAATTTTTTGATATTTTGGTTTTCATATCTAGGTTAATAGTATTGCAGTGTTTTGACATATATACTTCCAAGATCTGGTAGGTGTTTTTTTTTGAAAGTGTAAGGCCCTGTTTTGCATTTGTTTTGCTTTTGTTGTTTTTGTTGCAGGCCCGCTACAGTAGACCAATGAAGCCCAAAGCATGTTTGGTTGGTTCTATTTTGTTTTGTACAGTAGTAAAACATTTCAATAAAAAAGCCCGAAAATTGAAACACCAAAAATGATGTTTTAACTTGTTTCAGCACTGTTCGCCCATAATATTCACTGTAGCGGAGGAAACACCTAGCCCAACTTAAAACATACTTGCCCTAGGTATATAAACATTTTAAGTCATTTTGGATAACTTTTTCTCTCTCCTCTCCTGATTATGTCTCTGGTAAGGGCGATTTCAGATTTCACCATCACCGATCAATTAAGCCCTCGATTTGCTGGTTTTGCTCAAATACAACATGATTTGATTTTGATTTTGTGGTCATCTTTCTCCTCTAAAAAAATAGAAAGTAAGTTCAATAAATTATAATTTTAATTTTGCTTTCGTGTTCATCTTTCTCTCTCTAAAAAGGGTATCTGGGTTTGAGTATGGTGATTACAGAGATAGATATGAGAGTGAGTGATAGGGTCCAGAAGTTGCAAGAATCCTAAAGTTGTTGCCTCTCTTCTTCTCCGGCAACGATGACGTCGGAATCAAGAAGTAGTTGATGTGGTTGAAAAGAGAGAAATAGATGACTTTGATGGAGGAAATCGTCCGTCCAAATCCTACATCAGTCTAGCGATCCGATGAAATTGAGGCATTGTTGTTTGAAATTCGATAAAATCGTCGCTCCAAATTTGACTAAATCAGGCAGGTGAGAGCTTTTCACCAATAATCGTTTCTCGTCTTCCTTTAACCCAGGGCTATCAATGGGTGGCCAAGGAGGTGAATTCATCAAGAAGTCAAGATCTAAGCTTCTTTGCCTTCCCAACTTCCTAGTCTGCAGGCCAAAAGAGAAGAGTCCAACTCTCGTTAAATTGATTCTATTATATCCCAAACACTTGATTTTCATACAACACAAAAATAAAGCCAAACTGTTTTTCAGAAAAGATGATCAATTATAATTTTGTGGTCACCCTTGAGAAAGACATACAGAATTTTTCAGAAAAGCAGGGAGCAATTTTTCTGAACATTTTTGAAACGCATGACCTACCAAACATATTTTGCAAGTTTTTGTTTATGATATTTTTACAGTAAAATATCATTCGTAAACGTACTTTCAATTTTTTTCTAAAGTAAAAATATTATTTTTGTTTTTAGCTAAAAACAAAGCGCATCCCAAAGGAAGGCCATAAAGCAATTTGGTTCCGGTTTTGTAAATACTATCAGACCTGGCTGTGGATGCAATACCCTTCGATCCCTGTCCTTCCACTCTTGCCTGTCATTATTTCCTAAAATGCTTGCTTTTGAATTGTCTTTCTATGAGGCTCACACATGTTATTTGTTTTGTGACTTGACAATTGCTTATGGTTGTTTGGGAGAATTTTCGATTTACTGCATTATGCTGACGTGACTACCAGTTGTTTGACAAAACTACAGGAAGAACCTTGGTTTACAATAACCCGGCTGAACTGTGTAGGATCTGAAAAATTTTAGCAAGTAGTAGTACCACCTGTTCTTATTTATCATGTTTACTCTTTTAGATTACAAAATCGAACAAGTCAATACCACAATTATTCGAAATGTGCAGTTTGCCCCCTAACAGTCATTTTCGGCACATTTCTAGCCAACAGGTGGACCGCGTTAGTTAACTTCTCATCTAATTTCATAATGC